CAAATTGCGTTTTATTTCGTACTTGCATGGAACTGTGCTTTGTTAACGTCAATGTTGAGCTAGGATCTAGGCATTGTATTGTATGTTATTTTGTCACAAATTGCACTCTTTATGTTATGTTATGTTTTGTTACGATACGTTGTGTCTTTGTAAATTCCTTGGCACGACATCTTCTTCCTATTCTTGGTTCATGTCAAATTTCCAACGCTAGTAAAAGTGAGTACAGCTAGTATAGTCGCTAATTGCATAAACTTGACAACACAAAATTATCATCGCGTGGCAACGTCCAACAGAGAAGCTTACTGCCGTCAATAAAAGAAAAACGCAATTACAAGAGAAGAAAAGATGGACAAGAGAAAGAACAATATGATGATGATAAACGAACCGTCAACGAGGAGCTAACTATAATTGTTTTAACCTTGTATTGCAATGAATACAAGAAAAATGCTTACGTTTTGGCCTAACCGAAAACCAGGAGGTTTTCATCTAAAGGGGAGAGATATGTAATATAAGGGAAATTGTTGTTATATGCACCCAAGGGTTTCGCACGTGATGGACACATGGAAATGACAACACTTTGCACTTTGCACTATGCACAATGAACAATGAACAATGCACAATAACGCACTATAGTTTAGAGTATAAAATATCACGGGTTGCACTGGTTAAAAGAGAAGGTTAAGAGAGAAGGTTGATGACTTGGTCTGGGGCACGACAACAAAATAAATATATAAGAAAAGAGAAGGAAGTTGTATTAATATTATCTGAGCTGTCCCTCATACGGCCCCGACGATCCCGCGGATAGAATCATACAAAAAAGGGGTTGTTTTAACACATCTTATCAGGCATTTTCATGCATTATATATATAGCTGCATGAAATACTGTATAGAAAAACCGACCAAATTTAAGCTGGTCGAAACATCATTCCCACATCCGTTACGATTACATTAGAATGAGAATATTCTATAGAGACGGGCGATATTTTGCCTCCCTCTTTTTTAGGAATGCGTATTTGTACTTTTGGACATATGTGTTAATCATCAAGGTTTTGTTCGATTAAAATTAACCGCCTTGCGAACTATAATCATTCAAAAATACCCCAAAATTTCGTAAATTCCATTGTGTTTAAATCATCAGAAAACAGAGCTTTTAGGAAGGAAAATATAGAGATGCACATAATTTTTTCTTATAGGTCAGCAACCTGTCAGTAAATCGTAACTTGAAAAGTAAGATTATATTGTTCTTATGTCCGGCACCTTTTTAATTTGACTGCATGTTATAATGAGTAAAAAAATTAAAAAATTAAGTTCAATTTTCCTGTCGTCGTTGTAATATACATGTATGTTAATGCTATAATTATTGCAAAAAGTAATAAAAAACCACAAGATGTCAGACGTCTACTGAAAGAGTTGTCTATTGTTGTCTTCATGCACTGGTATTAAAAAGATTACATATTATTTCACGACAGACTGTTTTGAAAATTGTTTAGTTTTTAGAATTTGGAATCTGATGGAACAAAGTACTATAATCTTGATAAACATCCCTACATATTTCATATGTACCTGTGGCGTCATATGTCATATACTACTTTTGCTGGCATTCATCAAGGATCCTCTTAAATGCTTTAGAAATTCCGCAACCTATCTCGTCGCTAATCTCGCAGTTTCTGATCTCATAGTGTCTTTATTCAGTCCATACGCAAAGGGGAGCGAGTGGCTGCACTGGAGCGTGAATGTCATTTGGCAAATGGCAGTTTGTGCCTCGATGATTTCAATCTTCTCAATTGCTGTAGATCGCTATGTAATGGTCGCCTATCCATTTAAACATCGTTCTTTGATGAGCGGAAAGAAAATTATCTTCCTGATTACGTTTATTTGGATTTTATCAACTTTTGCCCCTCTCAACAGTTTCCTGTTATCTTCCTCCCAGTCGGATACTTTTAGTGTTGATTCCAATAATATTTACTTCGTGATGAGCGTATTGCTTGGAACAGGCCTCTTTTACACAGGAACCTCCATGTCCCTGCGAAAGCAAGCCCAAAATCTAGCTGATGTGAGCAGAGAATCTGGACCAAACCGTACCCAAAAGATTCGTAGGCAAAAGGAAAAGCGATTTCTGACGACAATACTTTTAATAGCGTGTATCGAAGTCATCGGCATACTTCCTTGCTTAGTCTCATATGAAGTCCTAAGAGCGGATGGGAGAAATTATCTTCACCGGTCACTTAACACAATTGTAATATGGCATGCCGCGTTCATTTTATTCTATTCTGTTTTTGCCATAAATCCATTGATATATTTTCTGCGTTTGCCAAATTATCGTAAAACATTTTTTGCACTCTATTTAAAACGCAGATCGCCTTAATTATATTATAATACTTTTGATATATTACCAGTAAACAAGCCAACGAGGACCCGTTTAACTTGGTTAGGCGAGCTGTCGCGGGCCGGCTTGAACCGAAAGTGTGACGTTAGAGTGACTGCATGAGATTACGATTGACTGTTGCCCATTTTGATTAATCGCCATTTGCGTTAAGACTAGCCGGCAAGTAACTGAATTTTGTGAAAGCTTTGTGAAGTAAATTCATTCTGCCTTGCATGATACTTATTTGGGGTGAAAGATTTTGGATGGTGAACAGTGAACTAGAGAATTGCCTAGAAAATCACACGCCATGGCTGAAATGATAAATTCTATAATTCCCAGCCTTGTATATAATTCTCGTATTATAAAAAATGTGACAATGAAAGACAGTTATTAAACAACTTCAAACATTCCAATTACGTTTGGTAAAAATATGTACAGATAGAGCTTACACTTGCAACAGCATATGCTCATCAGTTTTTGAGCTATGAATGTCGAACGAAAACTCAGAAAAAAACTTTTTAACAAGTATAGTACTTGAAGACTGGTAGTTTAATAACAGGTAGTTTAATAATAGTTTGTAACTGGTAGCCTTAAATAACCGTATAATGAGTAATGTCAAGGGGTGTATTGTACTATGGATCGACTTCTTTCCATATTGCTTTTTTTTTAAATACAGACCGTCGAACGGATCCCAAAAGATGCACCACACGCACACATTTCAAATGGAAAAGATGAAAAAATCGATCGTGCGCAATGTTGCTATGAATAGAAAGTTTCCCTTTAGTGCATTAATAACAGTTTTCCACTAATTTTCGATCGAGCGTAATCCTTGCTTGATTTTCTCCCAATTGTGCCCGGTCACAATTATGGAACAGAAAGTCAAGCGAAAATTTCATTCGATCCGAAATTGGGTAGTATAATGGCCTTGTTGAAGCCTGCCTTTGATCAATCATGATCCCTGTCGACTAATAGTCCGATATTAATCGGTCATCTCACATGTACAACTTTATGAAAAATATATAATATTGAAGCCAGGGTTTGTGATTGGATATGTTTATTATTACTTAACAAATACATAAGGTGGGAAATTAAAAATTTAATATCAATAATTTATAATCAACATATCATTTATTTGTCACCAAAATAAATTTATGGTACAATATATTTGATATTAACCGTCACAAATACAATAAAGACAGCAAGTTTATTATTAAAAGGAGTTGATTGAACATAACTGTATCCACTCCCCACAGATATCGAGAAGGTTTAAATTTTTGTAATTTACACTACAGACTATTTGCGAACTGCCTTAGTTTAAAGAATCGAAAAACTGATGGAAAACAGTGAAGAAATCTTGAGGGACCTGCCTATATATCTTGTTTGTTGTTGTGGCGTCATGTTTCATGTACTACTTTTGGTTGCATTCATCAAAGATCCTCTCAAATGCTTTAGAAATTCCGGAACTTATCTCGTTATAAATCTCGCAGTTTCTGATCTCACAGTTTGTCTATGCATTCCGCACATCACTCGGGTCGGGCGACATTGGAGTTTCAACATCATTTGGCAAATGGCGACAGGTGGATCCATGGTTACAATCTTCTCGATTGGCGTAGATCGATTTTTCATGGTCGCCTACCCATTTAAATATCGCTCTTTTATGAGGGGGAAGAAAATAATGCTATTGATCACGACTATTTGGATTATAACGTCGTTGTCCCCTGTCAACAATTTCTTAATATATTCTTCCGCGACAAGCATTTTCAGTGTCAATTCTATCAACATTTACATCGGATGCAGTCTTATGTTTGGAGCAGGCCTTTTCTACACAGCAACCTTACTGTCGTTACGAAAGCAATCCCGACGGCTAGCGGTGCATGCCAGCGAAGAATCTGGATCAAACCGTACTCAAGAGATTCGTAGGTTAAAGGAGAAGCGATTTTTGACGACAATACTTTTGATAGCGTGTTTTGAAGTGATCGGTATTGTTCCTTTCTTGGTTTTGTACGAAGTGCTAAAAGAAAGCGGACCTAATAATCGTCAGCATCCTTTCCTTTATGACATATGGTATGCTTCAGCAGTTTTATTCTCTGTGACTTTTTCCGTAAATCCTTTGCTGTATTTCCTGCGTTTGCCGAACTATCGTAAATCATTTTTCGCACTCTACCTGAAACGCAGATTGCGTTGATATGGCACATCATTTCGAGCGACTATATAGCTATACATCCATTACGCAAGTCGATTGAGATTTAAAAGCACCTGTTTTATATTTATATATTAAATAAACTGTAATTTTGCTTGAACTAGAGCTTACTCATGCACAGCATGGAAAAAGCTTTGATTTAAAATCCGTGAAATATAGTTTAAAAACAGTTTGATCGGGAAACTATTTCACTACATCGATTTGTCTCGGTCTGTAGAATTCCTTACTGAATATTTTTGGGTGGGGACTAGTGCATACTGCATGTCAGTACTGTAAAAATAAACAAATATATTTGTTAAAATAGCAAAATAATTTTAGTAGGTCGAAAACAGTACGATAAAAAGAGTTTATTTGGTTAATTAAGAAACCGGAAAGCGAAAATGTAAAAAACAAACTATATGAAATGGGTTTCTGTTTATTCGTGCATGGATCTTGGGATGGAATTAATAGAAAGCTCCATGACTATAGACTATACATATAATTTTATCTCTTAACCTTAAATAAATTAAAGGTAGTCAATTAGAACAACTCTACTCTAAGTCTAATAAGCAACTATAAAGTTTGATAAACTAACCAAACGCTTTTCTTATGTACCACAATGTCTTAATGTATAGGATTTCAGATAAATCAATAATTTTCGGAAACAAATATATAATCGTATAAAACTAAGTAAATATCACCGTTTTCCCGCAGCATTTAGCAGGCGGTTTACGGATCTTCAGAACTTATGCACAGTTAAAAGTTAAAGTTCAAAACATCAAAATAGTACAAAATTACATTTTTTGCACTCCATGCACCTGAAAACGCAGATTGCGTTGATATGATACGTCATTTCGAGCGACTATATAATCCATTATATTTTTTTGGAATAATTTCCATTATAAAGGAACTACATTCTATGTAGTTGAAAACGTATATGAAACTCTCATACGTCTTTAAATATTTGTATCTTTCTAGCGACCAATTGTATTGATAGTCGCCATCCTCGTGCTTCCATCCTATATGCTTAAAGGTCCCTAACCTCAGTAACCTGCTTGCCGCACGCAGATTCACGTACGCTTAGCGTACCTATTTTTATACAATTCATCATGGCATACTATGCAATATGCATTACTTTTGTGCCTATAAATAAGATAATCATTTCATAGAATGAGTTTGATATTCAACCACTACTTAATTGTGTTTTTAATTCATTGTTCCTTGGTGGATGTTTTACACTGACTGCTATATAGAAGCGTGAAGAAAAATATTGAGCAATTCCTTTTCTATTAAGCAGTGGATTAACGTACGCAGAGTTCATCATGCAGATATTTTGAGGAACTCTTTGCTGAAAACCTACTCATACCGGAACCGTATTTTCATCAACCAATCAGATTTTTATGATATGAGTATAAACAAAAAATTTCGGGTTTTTTGAAGAAACTCAATGAATAGCCCAATATTTTCTAATGCCGCTTCTATTGCCGCAATTGCTTGTATAATTGCTATTCTCTACTGACAAAGAAGTTTCAGTCAATGTTTGTCCGAGAACTCAGGACGACTTTTATAAAGATGGTATCATCTTGTACAAAGCCACCTGACTCCAGCAGTTCGTTTGGAACGAAACATGGGTTTCCTATGCCGAGATTCTCTTTACCTATCGGTCTGTTGAAGACGACCTTGATATTGGGCAAAGAGAGATTGGGACTCAGCGTGTGCGAGCGATGTTGACGCCTGTCGCTTTGATCCAACAAATAGAATGTCACTTTCATGTTGTACGGCCAGTCAAGAAGAGCGTCGTAATCCCCTTTCATAATGATGATGTACAAGGAAAGATGTGTCCCTCGTCCTCGATCCCGTCCATTGAGGTACGCCTTCAATTTAAGTTTGTATCCATATTGACTGGTATAGAACGCCGGACTGAATATCGCCGTTTCCTCCTCTGATGCAAGCGACTCGTCCATCTGCTTTCTGTAGTTGTTTATTTTCCAGATGTACATGCCATCCACGCACACGGTTCTGCTCTCGTTTTCGCGTATTTTATAGCACGCCAACTGCAAATGTTTCTGCACGGCTGTTTTGTTGTGATCTTCTAAATTGTCCCGTTTACCCTGAAGAAGTAAAGTAAAAAATGTAATCATCCACTTCAATCGAGGAGCCAGGACAAGGAGGGAAACAGAAAAAAGACGCAGGAATAGACGCCCATTCGATTAGCGAAGTTCAAATCCCGTCCAAATCTGCAAACTTTCAATCCGTGAGTAACAATAGCGAACAGTGTTTATATGTTATGTTCTTTTGAAAAACACTTTCTATATTTCATTGTTTTATTTTTATCATCATGCAAACAATAGCAAAGCTTGTTCGTATATAGGTACCGACCCAATCACATACCAAACCCACATATACCTTAAAGTCACAACCAATGTCTGCATAGGAACAAGGATTAGTGGCCTGCGGGCATCCGTTGAGATGGACTGACATCTACATATATCAAACGAGAACTATAGTGAGCCGTGGTATAACTGTAGGTCCCGTGGAGTAGAGCACATTCATTTGGCAAGTGGTGTTATATTGCTCTATATTATCAAGAAATTTAAGCTTGACATTTAAACATTGGACATGCAGTTAGTAAACTGGTCCATTTTTAATTCCATTTTCCTTGATTTATATTAACTTTATACATTATGATTAATGAAGGTGAAGTTCTTTGTTATAAATTTTAGCCACGGAACTCGCCCAGATATAAGAAAATTACAAAATACATAAAAATAATTCTCATAGCTGTCGGACTGGACATTTGAGCGCCGCGTGTTATTTATAACACCCTTAGAACTTGCAATAAGTACAAAAGGCGGGCATTGAAAACAGTACTGACCAACATGGAAATTATCGTAAATGCATGCAGTCATGTAATATGAGTAGGAGCATGTAGGTATATCCTATACCTCTTCTCTTGGGATATCTTTCTTGCCACATTTGTTTAAGCACTCCAACGGAAGTCTCTTGCACCGTTTCATATGTACCTGAATATAACATGTCTTTATATCATTACCCTGTTGCAATTTCAGTGAACTCTGCATGGTGGTAAGCGGAGTTTAATGCGATAAAGACAAAAACGTTAGAACACTGAATGTCTCTCTGAGTTGTTTGGAAAAACATCTAAGACTATGTGCACACGGTAACGTTTTCGAGCGTTTTCATTTTCGTTTTCATGCCAAAACCGTTTGAAACACCGTCAATTTACAATAGAAGTTGAAGCTAACTTATAAGATAAAGCATATTTTTCCTTGGAACGTAACGGATTTTGAAAACGCTTGAAAACGACGCTCGTGTGCACATAGCCTAAGAATCTCTTAAGGTGGATTTCCACTTACAGTGAAATCGTTCGCTAGCGAAATATTTGCATATTTTCTTTTGAATTGAGAACAGTCAAGCACTAATTTATTCATGCTGTTGAAATTCAAAAGAAAATATGCAAATATTTCGCTAGCGAACGATTTCGCTGTAAGTGGAAATCCGCCTTTTTATACAGGGTGTATAAAAAAAGAAGACCTTTCTCAAAACGTGTTTTGTACGTACGTGTTTTTGACGTCTGGATATAAGTAATAAGTCTGAACGATAAAAACGTTTTTGACCATGCATTATTGTGCAGAATTTTGCTTTTAGACGTTATCTCAAATTCCCAGGAGCAGAAAGACTTTTGTGCTTGTGACAATTAAAAATATGTACATCATGTACAATGCACAAAGCTGGCAATATTTTACGCATCCAAAGGCTTAGAGTAGTGATAGGGCATTTAAATTACATATAGCAATAGTTTAATTTTTAAAGTTCTTCTTTTTTGCGATACATCCTGTAGATTTATAGAATTAGCTTATATATTTTATAACGAGATTAGGATAACGCCTAATAACCGTATAACGTTTGTGATAACAACTTGTTGAAAACAAGGTAGGTAAAGTTTCGCTTTTTGGCTTGAACCAGCTCTTGTTTGCAAGCTTTCAGCCGCAACCAATTAAACAGCAAATTCCTAGCCAGACACAATTATAAATTCCTTGTAGAGAACTCACTTGAATTGTGCTGGCAAATGTAACATGATAGTTTGTCGGTTCAAGAATCGGTTTTTAGTCGAAATGAAATATCTTTGTTAATAAATAATAAAGAAACGGGAAATGTTAGCGAAGCAATGGCGTATCCGAGTATAGCAGGCTTTGCTGGACAAACGTCTGAACAACAGGTTAGATTTGTTGTATATACTTTGTCGTGTTTGCATGCAGCATTAAAACTTTCAAAGATGTGCAAATACGATTGGAATGGGGACGAAATGAATTTCACACTAGAAAATGTTGTTGTATAGACCCCAAATTTAATTCCTGAACGAGTAATGAATATATATGATAGGATATTTAGGGAAGTTTAAAGTTTATATGTCTATATAATAAAAAATTAGTTGGACGCCATGATCGTCGTGTAACCATTTGCATTTCTGCTGATGAAGCCTGGAAACGAGCCACCTATGTTATTGCTTAAGATCTAGCTTGGAAGATATATTATCTCGTGAAGGCTTAAATCTTGTGCTCGCTAAAACTGTATCCTCGGAATATTTTATGATCATCTAGATCTATACCATCATATTAATACTGTAACACGATGTAAACATGCAGATTGAGGTTCATACACGCGTACCTTGTTATCCTTATAACAATACGTTTCGCTGCAGAATGAACAAGAGACCGTTCTCAACTTGCATTTTGCGCTGAGATGATATTGTAGCGCTCGTCTGTGTAACATTTCATCACATCCAGCATTGGTGCACTGTATCTCTTCGAAATTGCAGTTTTTCAAGTGATCCTGTATAGAATAGCAGATCATACATTACATTTTACACGAAACTAGCGAGAGAAATTGTTTCAGATCCCAGACAATTTCTTATAAAGAACCCCTTTGCATTGTAAACGTGTGATTCGAGTTCACTAAAAGTTGCGCTGTGTTATACATCACCTGTAATGTGATTACACAGCTGTTGCAAAGCTGAATTAAACTGACACGTTCGAGGTCAGTTCCGGTTTAAACATACAACACAAAAATTAAATAATGATTAAAGCTATATTTTATTCACTTTAATCATTAATATTATTGCAGGGAAACGACTTTATTCTAATATCTGTGCTACACTTTCCAGGCAGGGGAAGCACGCTGGCTGGGAATTAGGCAGACCCAGCACGAGGACGTGAATAAATGGCGTGGTATGCCCATATATAGGTGCATCACGCCATTCATTCGTCACTTTCGTGTGTTTTTTGACGTTCACGTCCTCATGCCTATTAACAACAAGCGGTTGTATAAGCAGCGATATCCTAAAAAGAGGCGTCGCTATAGAGGCAAATGGGGGAGGGAGATGCATACATATGTGTTTGGGTTGAACCCGAACGATAGCGTTTGATAGCGTTTGCATAATTATAAGATTATACGAACATGAACATATGAAATATATAGAACAACGTTACCGTATAATCTGCAATAAGAATACAAATAATGATACATGTATATTTCTCATAAAGGAAAAGATAACTTTCTAGTAATTTTAGAGTTCGAAAAGGTTTTAAAAAACTTGCAGTGGCCCATATACTATGCATGCATAGGTTCATGCAACTAGTACGTTCGTGCACATTCAATTTGAGACCGGTATATATAGGCAGGTTAGCTCAGTTTGAACCTTGCATGGGTTAATTTACCGATATACTGGATAAGATACTCGGTGCCTCAAAAACGCAACGAAATTAACAGACCTTTACAAATTTACTCTTCCAAATGAAACCCTTCTTTACCTCATAACCGGAAAAAAAATTAATATTTTCTTGAAAATTTGAGATCGAGACCAATTTGCACGAGCTTTATGCTTGTATATATGCATACATGCATTCCCAGCGGTAACAGAATGTGGTTCTCGACCGGCAATCTTTAAAACATGATTATTTGGTTATTTCTAGCAGCAAGTATATGGCACAAAAAAGATACCGAAAAGCTAAAAGGCTAGAAAGCTAAAAAACTCAAATGTCATTCGAGTATTGCATTATAACAAATGGCATTTGAGTAAATATAAGCTTCTATCCGCGACAGTGTGCCGGCACCTCCAGTGTGTTTGCTTATAGCAACGCATACAGAAAAACGGATCTTGGGGGCAGGTGAAAACTCGGACAAACTGGCGGCACAGGTATTTAAGAGTTCGAATTCGAATTAAGGTGTCCAATAGTTTTTAGCTTAATCTCCGTATGCTAGCTCCCCAAGATTCAACGAATCCAACGAGGTATTGAAATAAGTCTTAATGAGACCAAACAAAAACATGTATAGGTATTGTCGGGATGAATTAACCACTGCCAGAATCATGTTGTATATACTCATTTCACTACCTCAAAGTCATCTCACGCTTCGTTGGATCTACGGCTTGGCTATGCGGGTTCATGTAAACAGCCCATCAGTTCGAGATAAAGATAAAGTTAGAAAATTTAAAGTCCCGAATTGTCGCTCCCCGAGAGGGGATGGCTTCACGACAAGGTCGCATATTCCGGGATTTTCATCTCCAAGTCAACTGAAGTTTCTTATCCCTCAGCTATCTCCTAATAAAAATGTGTTTGTACTTGTGTATCTTCTACCGAAATTGAATCAGCTTATTCAAGTAGTTGAAATTAAAATTTGAAAAACGTGCAACATTGTCATTGAACATAAATTAAGACATTTAATAAGTTTAAGAACTCGCGCCGCAATCGAGACGTCAATATTTTGTGACTATATTATCATACAATAGCGGCGGTTGAAATGAAATTTCAAATTTCGATTCTACCAAAATATCAATAGATGCGCAATTTAATTTTTCTAAATCTCGATACTCATACCTCTAAGCTGCTCAGCTCACCGGACCAATCGCATTTTCTTTTCCAGTTACAACATTTGACCATTTGACTTAAGATGGCTCTTTTCGCTGCCTTGTCGAAGAACAGCTGCAATTACAATTGAGAATGATTATTGACCGTGTGCCAACTTTTATATTTTTTCTGAAACCTTCGGCTCAATGCCCCACAGTTTATGCTTGCGTGCAATCAAGAACGCAGAGTCGAAAATCCTTACCCTTTTAAGGAAGAATTTATAATAATCGAGGTTATGCCAAATAAGAGGTTGAGGTGATTGATCGAGATTTTCAATGAATTGAATATATAATAAAAGCATACGGTTTCTTGTCCCATGAGCATTGTTATGGAAATTTTTGCGGAAATTTCTGTGTCACGGTGACAGTTATTTGCTTTAACTATTACAAAAAAACAAGCGGTGTCAATAAAAGGTGTTTAGGAGGAGGATTTTATGGCTCACCTTTGATGCAGAGACTGGCCTCCGGTCTAACGGGCAAACACAACATTCTCCTTGTCTAAAAGGATAATATAAATAATATAAATAATATACATCATAGTTACACTTTACTATGTAACGAGTGTATGCATGCTGTAAAAATATAAAAAACAGCATAGTATATAAAAACAGCTTGCAAAATAATTCTCCAAATTACAATGCCTTTTTTATCGAAAAAACATCACTTCTTTGAAATGATACACTCTATACAAGTCGTAATTTATCTGGTGTACCTTCAAGATACAGTAATTTAACATTTGTCGACCATAACTGTGATGAATAGCTATATAAACAACTGTGCATGCATGTAGCTATACAGTTATATATATATAAAATTGATCGTTAACCACGGGCCATATCGGAAAAAAATGTAAAAATAGCGTATACCTGTGAACATTAAATAAGGTTGTTCACCATGATCCTAGTTACCGAAAACATTATTTTGAGGATTGAAAAAATTTTCATAGAAACAAACAAGGTCACATGCTATTTGGTCGGGATTCACGCACTACCTTGCACAACATGTTATTTGCTTATTTTAATAATACACGGGTCAATGTCATACTTCGCTTAAAACGTGTGCAGTCAACCGCAAACAGCTAACGTGACTTGTTCCAATTGTTTGGCAAAGAAAGTGTTTGCAAAACGTGAGACAATGAACCGTGAATGCATGAACATCCCCGATAAATATTATTAAAAACCTTTACTGAAGAGAAGTTTATACCACCCTGTCTAGCTTATTGAAACAATATGCCGAAGTCTACAGATCACTTTTCTAATCTTATAGTACTCGTTGGATTTGATCTATAGCTATAGCTTTAGATAGCTTTATATACCTATAAAACGCCCGCATACATCGGCAAGATATGTCAAAACAACTTAAGGCCCACACACACTGAACGCGATTTCATTTTCAGAAACGAATAAATTCAATTCTAAAAGAACATTTTGCGAGATATGGGCACCAGAGCAGTCAAAATGTACCATCAATTCGTAATTACCAGAATATCACAACATCGGCGTCAAAATTAGCAGCTTTTAAAAACTGAAAAATTCGTAAAAATCGCGTCGCGTTGGCGGATCGCGTTCGGTGTGTGTCGGTCTTTCAGCTGTAGAATTTTAACTGTAACAAATTGCCCGGCAAATAACGCGTCAAACATGCTATTGCATGGTTATGAATTTGCAATGAATTTTCAGAAGTTTTTGTTTTTTATGTCAAGACACCCGAATCGAGCCCTTCTTGAATTTGAAATGTATTAACGGCCTTGCGTGTTTGAAAAGGCAAATGTTTTTTCGGGTCTGCACGCAACCGCCCCACGCAGCACCCAATGCAGATATATATGTAGTGTTGCGAAACGACTTTATATATAAAAAGGCTTTGAAGTCATCCCCGCGAATAGGGCAATCAGTAAGAAATAACCGTTATCGATCTAGGTCCTGATAATAATAGCTTGCATGCATCATTACGTATACTGTATAATCTAGTCACACATATAGGTCCATGAGACAGAAAGGTCAAGAGAGAGCCTTTATTTCAATACCGAGGGAAAAGTGTATACAATCATTGTCTGGCACGATTGATTGCTTTGAAAATCATACGTTTGCATCAAAAATATATGACGGCTGGAACAGAAATTCCCTTATAGTACTGCAGTAAGGTTTAAGGCAAGCGAGATATATACGTGGACTCGCAGGAATGCTGTAAACAAGCAGAGTGGACTTGTTTCAGAACACTGTGCCGGTCTAGAAAGACGAAGGGGAGGGAGTTTAATTGAAATTTACAAAGGATAATCATTCCTGGATGCGTTCGTCCCATTCTGAGTCAGTGGGACAATCACATATGCGCGTATTATAACGTAACGATTGATATAATAAGATCGATTTGTTATTGCAGGTCATAATTTTTACGTATACCTTCGTCGTAGTTCTTGCAAACAGGAATAACACAGGCGATGTCCGCAATCTTCCAACTGCACTGGATCGCGGTAAGCCAACTGACAGATCGGACACTCGTATTCGTCGGGTAAAGTTGTAACGAATTCTGCTTCGTACCCGCCAATTTCACGTTCTGTTCTGTTCGCCATAACGCGGCCGTCTCGTTTAGAACCGGCAGGTGGTTCCATATTTCGGCCGAGTTGCGACAACATTATTGCGGTTTGATGCATGAATATGCAATTAATCAATTGCTTCTCAGCAGCTGATGTCTTCACATCAGTTTCGTCGTAATAAATGTTAGCGCATGCATGTAGATGACTGTATTTAAAAAATAAGAGCTTAAACTCTATATAGTATACAGTATATAGTATAGTATAGTATATAGGGCAGTATGGCGGGGGCAGACAAACTTGTTACAACCGGAAAATTTAAACAACATTTTTGCGTGTTTCGCCCTCCACATGCACGCGTGGAAATCCTGCATGCTACAACGAGAACGCTGCGAGAACACGCGTTTCACTGAGGAGTGAGGACGATAAGAAGGAATGCACTCAGTTGCTGTAAATCTTATTTATACTCTTACACCAATATAGAGCATTTATTACCTAAACTGCATTAAACACACAACTGAACAGTAGACGGTGGCGGGCATCTCTTTATTCGTCTATGCGTAGGATATTTACTGACAAGCATGTCGGTATTTTTACAAACTTTATATTCTACGATTTTCACTGTTCCCGTGATGTTTTAACTTTATATCTTTTCACAATTTCCATTGAAATCAAACCCATCCACTGAACATGGACATTTTTGAAGCGAAGCATTTCCACTCAGCAGCAATCTTGACAATGATGTATAGGTAATGAAGTCGGTTTCAACCATTTTTGGGGTCAATAACATGCAGAACGCCAAAACTAAAGTAGGAGAATAAATCTCTTCCTTTAGGAAATACTGCTACTGACTGCAAGAAAACTGAGAGACGAGAGAATGCCATCGATACCGAATTCTATTATTCAACCGCTCTCATATATACTCCCTTATTTTGAATGACTGATTCCCAGTAGACTAGCTGACACGTCCCACGTGTATATTCCCTATATACGCTAATAAATACATTTTTGAGATAGCCACTCCGGTCTCCGAGACGGTTTTTTACTTTACACCTTAAATTGATCTCAATCTCATTTTTCTTTCTCACTGATAATGTTAGAGAAGTTGGAGAATAATTTACTACTGCTGACTATACCAACCTTATCACGAGTGGTGATCCAATAAATAAATCCAATACTGCGTTTTATAGCTACTATAATGCATGCAATTTCTACTTATCTTAAGTCTTAGGTGTTTGTCTTAACCGAAAAAATGTTTCCGAATAGTGTTAATTTTAGTAGATTAGTGCAATTCCATTGCTATTGCGCAAATTTAGCAAGGCTTTTATCTAATTTATATTTTCTTCATTTTACAACATTTTGTAACCAAACATATGGCACTAATTTCAATATGCTTTTCAGTTCTAGCTTCATAATAGGGTTTCTTGATATATAGGTTAAAAGCCTATGGAGATCGAGGTTTCTATTAATTTATTCTTTTCAGTTTTCGGAGGTTTTCTAATTGACATACCTGCACTTTTATTTACTCATGTTTATTAAGTGTTGCTAATGTTTGATAATTTAATTTTAATTTTTTAAGAGTTGCTAATGATCGTAAAGGTGCAGTGTTTATTTTTAGTAGTAACTTGCTATTCGGTTTTTATTTTCCGTAATAACCCTTCCACCCCGCATTTCCCCCGGAGAAATCAAATACCACCGCCTGCTTTTTAGATTTATTACTACTGAAAAGTGAAAAACCGATAAAAACAAAAGAATATATGGTGTGATGAGTTTATAAAACATCTTCTCGCCCTGATAGCAAATTAGTCGAACATGCACATTATCATGCATGCATTCGTTACAAAAACGTTATTTTCAGTTGAGTATATATATACCTTTTATTTTCTTGTGTTAATGAATACATATTGAATATACTTACTTATTTACAAATGAGGAACCCAAGCCTGGATGTTTCCAGCGTATTGATTTGCTGAAAGGTAACAAGTCGGAACCTAACCATATAATGGTGACACGCTTTAGGTGGTACCTTAATTCTCCCACACGAGAATTTTTCCTGATAGAGTCACATATAGAAAAGCTGGGGCGAGTCGCCTGAAGCCCGTTCTCCACTATAGGCTAATTTATTCGCGCGACGCGACATTTGAAAGTCGGTGATGTGATTGGTTTGCGAATCGCTCCCTACTTTTTATCTGTTCGTGCGAATAAATTCGCCTAGTGGAAAACCGCCCCACTTGTGCTGCCCCACGAATCGACTTCCATCGCTTCCACTTTATCCCTCGATTTCCAATTAGGAAAAATCCGGTCAGCAATGTTGTAACGACTTTCCAAGTCTTCACATATTGCTCTAAAGTTGATCCCAAACTCCATCCTAGGATATTTGATTCCTTCAACCTCCTCTATGTAGCGTTCCGCGTGCATGACTATGATTTTCCCGTCCATGCCAAAACCAGGTGAGCCACTTGATCCACGCCGAAGGCTGGTATCGTATGCTACGCGATGTGGATATTTCTTCAACAAGAGATCGATGTTGATATCTACGCCACCGCTATTTATTTGACGTCGCTTTAATTTTTCTTCAAGATCTTTTTGAACAATGACACACGTCTCTTCTGTCAGCGCTTTGCCTTCAGGATAGCCAATAATGCACACGCGATCATCATCCAAATCATAACCACGGACATATCCACCAAGGGGAGTACGACCTAGCAGATGACTGCTTTGACTTTGTTTCAACAAAAGTAGTATGTAATCCAATCTTTCACTATAGCAAAAAAGATCTTGCGATTCATCTATCTCAATAACGACATCTTTATCTTGCCCCTGTTCGTAAAAATCGAAGGCAACTACTATCGGCATTGTCCGTTGGTTGGCTTTCTTTTTCTCGATAGCGCAATTTAAATATACGTGAAAACACGTAATGACAATGTTTTCTGCAACAAGGAAACACGTTCCTTGTACATTACCACATGTGATCCGGCCAATCGATGGTAACAATTTGGCCAGCCATATCAGAAGGATACCAGGCCTATCGATGGGATCATTCTTGCAAACACACTCTTTAGACGTAGAATTAAGGGAAGAATTATTGCCAGATGATATGCAATCACCTCGACTCACAAGATTCACGTAAGCTGTAAAATATTTGAAAATTCATTTCATTGGTTACCATACCAAGCATGCATGCATGTGTTAGTTAGTTAATTACACACACATTAAGATTTCAGAAGATATTGTGTGTCATTTATGAAAAAAGATATTCAACTTTGTAAACAAGCAAAAACAAGTAAAAAATGAATGTAAAGATTTGCTTTACCCAGGGTAAGCCAACCGGCTTTTGAACAGCTGACCCCCGGAGGAGAATGTTAAAAACCTCGTGAAAGATAAGTATACAATGCAAGTAGTCTCCTCTTCAGTTTTTTTAACATATTTTCTAAAATCGGACTCCTTCGAGAAGGGTATTTTTTGCAAGGGATTTCACAAGGTATTTAAATTATACATATAGTGACGAGATTCCAGTTGCGGGCGGAAATTGATCTTGGAAAGCCCTGCACCGTATATAACGTCACCTTAGAGGAGTTTAAGAAACAAACGGATATTTTGTGTAAGAATAAACAATACGATTTTCAGAAATAATATGACTTTACTGAGATATATTACTTACCATGAATAACAGGGAAAAGTTTGTGGTAGGTTTTTGTAGGTGTTTGATAGCGTGCCTGAGATAGTTTTATATAGTGTTCATGGTCTTCAGTACTGCAGGTAAAATGTACCAACAGGCTTCTGCGGCCATTTTCGCTTTTACAAAGCATTTTTTTCTTTCTTCGACTTCACCTAGTTCTATGAAGCAATCACCCATCCCCTGTAACGCTAACATTTCTTCTAACACATTACCATCTTTCTGTGCCGATTTAGCAGCTTTCTTATAACTTTGGATTGCCTTCTGATACTCGTTATTGCTTTTGTATGTATTTGCTAAACTTAGAAATAATTTCCATTTTTTTCTAAAACCTTGATTTTGCCTGATATCGATAGCCACAAACCCGAAGTGATGCTTTGCATTCTCGGGATCTCCAGGGTTTCTATAGGACCTCCACAAACCATGACATGCCTCACTTTGCTCCCACTTAGGGTGAAGTTTGAGCACTTTCTTGTTGGCAACTTCATAATTTTCAATTCGTTTATGACGGGGTCATTCATTTTAAGGAATCCCTTGTAAGGACGATATCCTACTGCTTTTGGTTTTGCAATGGCGAACAACATTTTTTTCACAAGAAATATTCTCATCTCGGATTATATCTTTTGTTTATCAACTGCAGAAATAGAGTGGGAAAGGTTATTATACAGTGGCCACGGAAGATCGTAGAGCGTGTGTGTGTGGGGGGGGTCATATTTTACGTTCAGACCGGTTTATTAATCAGATGGTCTCTTTTAAAATTGATGGTTTTTACGGTCTAGTAACATGAATACAAACTCGTAATTTCCAACTGATCAGAAAAACACAAGTGAATGGAGCGCGGGCGGAGGGTGCATTATTTTTCAGGCTCGTCACGGTCGGATGCATGGTAATGCAGAATTGCCTTTAGTCTGAGTTAACTGTACTCAGGTTTCCGAAAGGCAGCATGTCTCGCTGATCTGTGACATCTGTGAGGCAATTAATAATTACTGTGCTAAGCAACGTAATCATAGACGCCAAAAACAATAACACATTATAAACCTAAAGCAAACAGATAATTTTAAACTTCAAAATCGTCTATTTGAAAACAAAATATTTAAATTTTAGCATTTACTTCCATCTAAATGAATACATAGACTGTCCCCAGGCTCGGCGTCAATGTTGATACAACTCAAGACTGGATATTACAACGTCACTAACGGCTGAGAATTGAAGTTAGCTACTAATCAATGCCAATGGAAAAGAACTGTACAGAGGGTCAGAGTGTATAACATACGTATATATATATATATATTTAAAGTTGTATATTGGCGGGAAAACAGCAAGAGACTTTTTGTTCGCCGTGTTCCTCTGAAATTTCACTTTGTCGTTTACAAATTTGCCGTACACAACTTAATTCTCTTCTAGCGTATGAAAATTTATACTGAGGAAATGTTAGCACAGAATACCGTATAAAATATCCACCGTTCGTTGCGCAATCGTCATATACGAGTTCGTCACACACGAAAGACGGAAAATACCGTAAACAAAAATAGTTTAAAATAGCCCACCTTCCGGGACGACTACTTTTCTACGGGTCCTATACGACAAACACATGTAAACGAACTTTAAACTTACCAACTGACCATCATTTATTATATAGTCATTCCACAAAAACGCTAATGTAGAACGCACAGCCACAAAATATTGCTTACTTAGTATTTTACGTGCAGATATCACATTACAAAATTAATGTTAAGACCCCGGTTCCGGTCTAAGGTAAGCCGGATCTTGTTCAATGGAATTACTTGTTGTTTACATGTTTTATGATGCGATTTTTGCTCAGCCGAAATGAGGCTTACGTCTAAGGGGAAAGTATTGTGGCTGTAAAGCCGAAAAAATTCTAAAACTTAGATGAAATTTTAACAAAGATTGAGCAAAGTTAGGCTATTCGTAACCTCGTTCCCGCATTCTCCATCCCCGCATATTTCCCCTGGCCAAACCTGAGCGAAATACCTTGGCACGGGCAGCAACCTCGTTCCCAGGGCCTTTTGGGACTTTATAGGGAGGGTTAATCAAGGTAAAATGCCCTGGAAACGAGGTTGTATGGGCTGATTAAGTCATATCGGATATTTTTAGGGCTGGGGGGGAGGAGAGGGGAGTGAATTTCATTTTTATGTACAGCCTGTTTGGCAGTACAATTATATTTTTTAAAAGTGTTGGGTCAGTTTACCGAATTTTTAACCTTTAACAAAACCTTGTTCCCCCACGCCCTTGTGTCCTACATGTGTTCGAAAGTAACGTTGATTGGGGAGCTAGGGGGAGGGGGTTAGGTCAAAATGTGTAACAATCATTATATTGCAGATTGTGGTAAAACATGTCCCAACTACTTTTTGATGGAGGTCGATGTATATCCGAATTTTCATTTAATATTTAATATATGGTTTCAGTAAATCACCTATGATATACACGAGTACGGAATATAGCATTCAGATTTGCTTGAATTTAAGGTATTCCAAGTACTCTGTTTATACTAGTCCACAGTCTCTCTGTGTATAATCAGTAAACCAGGGTAGGTGTAGCAGTTCTCCTCAACATATTTTCATACACACACCATCATGCTTTTGCGAGAGAGAAGTTCCTGAAAACATCGAACAATTCATCAAATAATCTCCGCATACAGTTCAAGAGTTCCTTAAACCTCTCGAACATATATTTGCGCGTAATCTAGCTAATACGTTATCTTTTAACAAAATACATTGCCATGCTGTTCTCTCGAATAGCATTATATTTTCTCATCTCACTATTGCCAAAGTTTAGTTCTGGAAGTATAATGGACCTTACGTCATGCTTCCGCTGCAAATTCTCCATTGTACGAATATCGATCTATATCGTTCTGGCTTCAGTGGTTTATTTATATCACTCACAATTTATCATTTACTCGCATTCAGTTTATTCTATAACCTGTGTTTACATTAACGCTATTTTTAGTCGAGCATATACAGTGGCGTAGCCAGAACGATAATTGGGGGGGCCAATATTCATATATTCGTGATACGCAGGTTTAATTTCTTTTCAAATCAATTGTCTTTACAGTCTGTTAACATGAATATATGAATATGGGCCCCCCCAATTATCGATGCTGGCTACGCCACTGAGCATATATATTTTCACCTTTTCAATGAATACAAATTAAATACTTATCAAAAAATGAACCACTCAGCCCTGGATATGCCAAGCCTAAATATGTAATATTTAACTGATGGTCACATGCTTCAGCAGTTGTAATAAAACTAATGGTTTCATTATTTCTAACTATTCTCAATATGAAAGTTGGTTATGTAACCCGCAAATTAACACGAGCTATTTTCATGATAGACTGATTTAAATGGAGAGGCTTGGCGAGCTACAACTCCTGCTCCGTGCATGCTTATTTATTAATCCACGACCATATCTTCCACTTTATCTTCTGATTTCCAGTTTGGAAATATCCGCTGAGCCATGTTGAAACGTTTCAAGTCTTCGCATATTTCTTGGATGTTGACCCCAAACTCCATTAAAGCGTACTTGTTTGGTGTAACATCAAGTATATAGCGTTGCGCGTGCATGACTATGATTTCCCCTTCCATGCCAAAACCAGGTGAGCCACTTGAACCACGCCAGAGGCTGGTATCGTATGCTACGCGATGTGGATGCTCTTCTAAGAGGATGTCAATGTTCGTCATGTGCATTCCACCACATTTTATTCGACGTTGTTCTATTCTGTCCGTAAAATCTTGTTGAACAATAACACATGTTTCCTCCCTCAGTGCGCTGCCTTCAGGAAAACCAATTAGGCACACAAGATTGTCATTCAAATTTCGCTTACCGACAAATTGACCAAGGCGGATGCGATCATCCAGATGACTGCTTTGTTTTAACGAAAGTAGTATATAATCCAATCTATCATCACAGTACGTAATGTGATTCGATTCATCTATTGCAATAACTACTGCATCTCCAGGCTCGTTATATCTGTAATAATCGAAAGCAACTTCTATTGGCATTGGGTGGGGGACTTTCTTTTTCTCGGACACAAAATCCAAATACACGTGATAACACGTCATAACAAAGTTTTCGGCAACAAGGAAACAGGTGCCTTGTGCACTACCACATGTAATCTGACCAATCGATCGTATTAAAGGGGCTAGCGATCTTAGAAGGATGCCTGGTCTATTGGTTGGAGTATTCTTGCAAACACAGTTTTTAGCCATAGAATAAAGTGGTTCATCGTTCCCTGAACATACGCCCCCAACTTGATTCAAAACATTAACGTAAGCTGACTTTTTGACGTCCCTTAGCATGGTCTGTTTTATCTCTTCTGTCAAACCGTCTTCGATTGATGCTTTGAAGGTGTACACCTCAGTCATCTTTTCAGCCGAAACTTCTTTCGAGAAATTGTCTGGTGGTATTTTTTTAACAACACTTGTATCGACGGTAGTATCAACCCCTAATTACGAGAAGATCGACATTAGAGACCTCTAGTTTCACAATATCTAATTATTGTATGAATGCGAGCGATTTTATAGATTTGTTGATAAAAAACGGTCAATATAATTGTTTAAAATTTCTGCGATTGTGGAAACGTCCAAGGTAAACAAGAGACCGCAAAAAATCTTTAATTGGGGAGGGGGGCTATAATATTCATACGTTCGTGTTCTGCATTTTTAGTTTCTTATCAAATTGATTGTTAACTTTTTACGGACTGTTAACAGCATATATGAATAATAGAGAGGTTAAGATACCCCGGTTCCGGTGTACGGGTACGGGTAGCGCCATTTTGTTTTCCATTTTTCGCTGATGTCAGCATATATACCTGTAATATCTACCCATTTTCCCGTTGTAAACGACGGTCTACACGTAAACAACGAACGGGTAACTACAAAGACAAAGTGGTCAAAGTGATGAATGACAAATGGAGAAGCGGGTGAGTGTCTTTAACACCCTTAAAATACATTTTACGTATTAATATAGTGTTCATATCGTTGTATAATTATACAGTCTATATACAAGCTACAGTACAGGCTTCTCAAAAATGGTTTGCAAACATAATTTATGAACGCCATCTTGATATTTTTGATTTTCAAAACAAACACATGAAATACTATAGTTATATAAAAGTTAAGTAGGACTTACAATGGAAATGTGTAATACATATTTACTTTTATAGTCAGTTCTTACCCGGTGTTGTTCTTGCCCGGAATTTAAGAAAATTCTTAAGTTGCAAACCGTACCCGTCTTACCGGTAACGGGTACGTGTAATTCACCCGTACCCGTACACCGAAACCGGGGTATCTTAACCTCTCTATTAGCCCTGCCCCGCCCCGACCCCGGTTAAGGATCTTCCTGGGTCCGTAGTAAAACACTCGTTTACCAAAACGTTTCAAATCGGCTGCTCAATTGACCTCCAGGTTCTGAAAACAGTCCCTGAACTCAGTGGTTGCAAGGATTTTACGTTTTATATTTCCACTCAATGTATTTGTTGTAATGTTAATCTTCAAATTCAAATTGTCAAATAAAAAATGCCCCATTGAAGATGGCCACGTGAAGATTAAATTTATCATAGTATTCCGCGTTTACCGGTAGACGACAATCTGCCATCCTTTTGGGCAGCGCGTTCCCCATATTAACCGTTCCTCAGTATTCACCGTTAGAGCGGTGAGTACTAACATCTGCGGTCGTTGGCAACAGTGGACACTATATATTCACCGCAATAGGGATGGATATTAATCGTGAAAGCCACAAGTCAGAAGCGGGAAAATCTTATTGTTATGTTTCATAGCGCACGTTTTAGGTTTTCACAGTCAACAAATGTTCGGTATAATACATTATTATTCTATAGACCCTAGGCTAAGGAGATCAAGAAAAAAAATTTCCCTCACTTCAAATATCATCATTTGGAAAATATTTGGGAAATATTTCGCGGAACCCCCCTAACCCCGGAGTCTATGGCCATTATATTTATGATACACAAGAGACAGCCATTTTGTCACTAGATTCGGGTAAAGAATCTTGGCAACGCCTTGGTAAGGTACCGCCCTAAAGACTATAAGTGTGTTTGCAATGAACTCTGAGTGGTGTTGAAGAATAGACATTCACTTAGGTATTGCTAAAAATAAAGACAAAGAATGCATGAATTTCATATTCATTGTATTATCAAAAAATTATTGTGGTTTTTTTCACTTTTTGAAATTATAGAATTTTATTCCAGTATATACTCGTTACTCACCATCGATTGAAGAAATAGCGTTTTGGGGGTAGAATGTTTCGAGCCAATGATCCCCTGCTCCAAAATCATGATCAGATAACGTAAATGTGTTCATGACTTTCATCACTGCAGGTAGAATTTCCCATTGCTCTTCTGCGGTCTTTTCGCCTTTTTCAAAGTATTTTCTTGCTTTATCGATTTCATTAAGTTTCTTGTAGCAATAACCTATCTTCTGATATGCTATCGTTTTGAACTCGTTTTGATCTCGTTGAGCTGATTTGACCGCTTTCTCGTAAGCTGCAATCGCTCTTTGAAATTCACCATATCTTTTACATCTGTCGCCCAAATCTAAGAAATCTCTCGGGCCTTTTTCTCTGCTTCCTGGTTTTCTCTTAAAAGAGCTTCGACAGGTATTCGAAACTTCGGAGAGGTATTGCTTTGCAGTTTCGTAATCACCAATTTGTTTGAAGATTCTCTCTAAAGCAAGACATGCTTCATCCTTGGCCGGCCAAAAGTCATGTTTTATCGCCGTCTCTCTAGCCCTTTTATATTTTTCAATTGCTTGTTCATATTCCTTATTATTTTCGTAAACCTTTGCAAAACCCAATAACACTTCTGAAAGTTGCTTCCTGCTACTTCCAGATCGTGCCAACGGCATGGCTTCCTCGAAACAACTGATTGCCTTTTCCTTTTTGCCGACGTCTCTGTATGTATGACCTAAACCAATCAAAGCCTCTGTGCGACAAGACGTGTTGGTTTGGCTCTGTGTTAATATTTTCAAAGCTTTTATATAGAAACGGATCGCATCTTTATATTCTCCGGATATTCTAAGCTCATTAGCATTCGACACGCATGCCTGAGGCGTTAGGCCTAAATTGCTATCCCTTCTTCTGTCACTCCCTCTTGCTTCCCCTCTAGTCCATTCAGTTAGATTACGATCGTGTTCGTTTTCTGCAGTTGATGATGCTTCATTGTCAAAACGGTCGGAAGATCCAGGTGCTTGGCGTCCAGAGTTCGCTTTCTTGAATCCAAATTTTTTCGGCATAATCAGCTAAATGAACGAAGTAAAACAAGATCACACCATCAATATATTGGTTCACGTTTACCCGGTGGCGATGTAGTCTTTTCACGATTGAGGAACAATATAATTCTTATATCTAGAGCCGGGAAAAATGATACTAGCAATATTAATTCGTTTAGAGTAAAATGCGGCCTGCTTGGTTTTTTTTTTGGAAATCTCAAAAAATTTATTACATATGTAATGTTTTGTTCCAGTAAAGCAATATATTATTGTGTAAAAGTGACGTTACAGAGTTATAAGATACATTACATTTGCTATAAAATACCTATAACACAGTTAATAAAGGGGAACAATTATCATTTATAGACCTGGAGCGAGGGGAATTCGACGAAATATTACCCCCAAGGGATATATCTTCCCGAGGGGGTAATATTTCGTCGAATTCCCCGAGCGGAAGGTCTATAAATTATATATTATATCGAAACAACGTGTAGGCAGCGCAAAAGCTGGGTGAAATGACTTCTTTTGCCTCCATTTTGAAAATGTTTGTCAACCTCGAGTCGTGTGCGAGGCATCCACGCGTGGTACACGCAAACTCGAATACCCGCTGCAGCTGGGTATTCGAAGTCGAATACCCCGCTGCAGCGGCGGGGTATTCGACTTTTATAGCATAATGTGAAAAAATTCGATGGAACTCCATGAATAATTTACTGATCACGTGGTACAAATCGAGCTTTCTGATTGGATGATTTACAGTTGAGATATAATATTACAAATTGTCCAAGGAGCACCCTGGAGCACGAAGGATCCAAAAGACGTACGTTATTACTGCTATTTGTAAACATGTCATTTACATGCCACTGGCCTCAATATTTAGGAGTTCAAGCACTTTTATACAATGACTTAATGGCTTCCGTGTTTGGATGGCCTGATCTAAACACGCGGGAATGCAAGAGATTAGAAAAGCTCGCAAAACACTCGCCATTCCCGACCAATCAAAACACGCGTTATATAAATGTTATTTTATAATTTTTTTTACCTAATTCATAAAACGTAGTTCAGTTTTATATGCAAAATGTACACGATGCAGGGACTCTTATTTTACGCAGGTACACGTATTCGTTCTAGGTATTCTCTATATATGCATCACGATCTATCACAAGAAACAGTGATTTATATAATATTACGGCCATTGGTATATATATGAACATCATGCATGGTTGGTTTTTTATATATATAGTGCCATAATTTATAGAATGTCCAATTTTGAAATATAGTGATTAGCAAGCTACCTTAACTAGCTTCCACCCACGCCATTTGAATTTCTGAGGCAGGAAACAAAGACATGATTCATATTTAAAGGCAAAATTAATGATGGTATATGACTTCCCTGGACGTTTCAAATATTTTAAATACAGGCCTTATGCTATGAGGTCTCATCAAATAATCTAAATTTTCGTTTAATATGGAACTATGTGACTTCGGTAAAGCAAGATACGATTGTGTAACAATGATGTGTACACAACAATTGCTTGAATTTATGGTATTTCAAGTATTCTGGTTATCTCACCTCACAATCTCTATATAGCTATACATATAACCAATAATGACGAATTATTCATATATGGCAAATGTTTTTTTTCAGTAAAGTGATTAGACCAGGATAAACCAACCTAGAGATCAACTCCGTCAATCTCGAAAGTATGGTATAGATATAAATGAATATAAAATTGGATGATATCTACGGAATCTTTTCAATGTGTTATATTTTTGAAGGAGGGGGGGGGGGAGGGGGTGGGTCAAGTACAGTGAAAAGCATTCAACATGCATACTGCAGTTTCAGTGAAGCAAAGCATCGTAAACAGATATTTCGTAATTCGTATGGCGGTATTTCATACTTTTTCCAAAGGCCAATCTTCACATGGAAACGCCGAACGGTATAAATAGTTCGTTGATATTATTTAATAATGCGATCCAGTGATAACTTGAAGGCAGAATTAGCTATCTAATGTGTTATATATATTATTCAAATTTGAAGTCGTGGTATGAAAAAAAAGTGCATTGCAAGACGTACACAGAGAAATGAAATTGGGGGGCCAAAAAACCATTTATCAAAAAAGAAATTGCCTATAGCTACTTAATGAATGACAATCATGCAATAGGATATTTTTCCGAAACTGATGCGCTAGCGCTTTAAATGTATCTTCGGAGGTAACAGCGTTCAAGGGTAAGCGTTCTGCTGAACTGTAAAAAAGTCTGTAATAAAATATTTATATCATGTTGCAAGGTTCGTTTTTGCAATTAGTTTAGATTGGTGGTCGGTTAAGCAACTTTTGCTTTCTATTTTTCAGATTTGATTTAAGCATGCAGCTTGAACAATTTTTGAGCAACTCTTTAGCTTTTATTAAGTTGACCAAAATTTGCCGGCAGCCATGAATTAACATTTCCAACATCGCATATTCATTTTCTGCGAACATTAGCTATAGCCTATGCTAAAACCAAAAACCAAACTGTCAGAAAGAACTTGTTCCAAGGTTGCGTATTATTCTAACTGAATTAATCAATATTAATAGAATTTCCATAAAATGTTTCTGTTGCTGGAAATTGAAATATATATTTCCAAGGCGGGAGCTTTATACCATAAGGACTTCCCACGACTTTCTTTCAAAAAGACCTGTTAAAGTGCTCAGTTAATAAGAAATTATTAACAATAACAGTATAACTGTGAATGTAAGTGACTATTGGTATGTAAACATTGCGTATAAGCTATATTTTAGTATTTTCACACCATGCCGCATAAAATGATTTGGGAATCTTGTGAAACGCTCCTCCCACGCTATTTAAATTTCTTTATTCAGGAACAAAGCCACGACATAAGAAATGTTGGTATATATATCACTTTGTTTCGGGATTAATAATTATTGCAGGCCTACGAGTCTATCAAATATCTAAATTAATTATTACTGATTTAATACGGAGTATATAGTTCCAGTAAATCAACATATGATTGTGCAACAATGACGTGCACTGCAATTTGCTTGAATTTATGATATTCCAAGTATTCTTCATTGTTATATCTAAGCTCACAATCTCTCTATATATAACCAATAATGACTAATAAGCATGAAGGTTTCTTAAGTTATTAGATAAGAATAAGCTAATTAAATAACACATAGAGAAGAATATATTCTTATAAGTGAATTTGGAGACAATTAAACTCTCTCTGTCAATCTCGAACGTACGATATATACATACATGCACGATTATAAAATAGATTTTAGTGAATATATATCCGAAATTTTGCAGTTACTTTCAATGTTCTTTATGTTGCAGGGAGGTGGGGGGTCACATAACAGCGAAAAGCATTTAACATGCATGATTTAGTGATAATTTCAATAGGGAAAGCATCGCGTATATGCATAGAGTTTAAACGGTATTTAATTTACTCTTTTCAAAGGCGAACTGCTTTATACTAAATCGACAAATTGTCAATAGTTGGTTTATTAAATGACTATAGCTCAAAATATTAATATAGTAATCTAATCCACTGATAAAAAGCTGAGTTATCTTATGTTTTATATCTTATTTAAATTTTAAATGTGCACTGCATGCAAGACATAAAGAAACGAAATCGACGGCAAAAAAGGCTTATCAAAGAAGAATACTCAGTCTCAGTAATGAAAGATAATCAATTATTAAGATATTTTCCTTAAGTCGACAGGCTTCAAAATGTAAAATCTAAGGTATCAGCGCTCCGAAGGTAAGGAAAGCGTTCTACTGCATGTATGTATATATCGGCATGATAAAATATTTATATTATGTGCAAGTTTGCACATTTTTTTGCAAATTTTTTTTCATTTAGCTACTCGCGTATTTGCGAAATAGGCTATCAAAGAAATAAGGCACATCGACTTGAATAATGTTATGCCTTATGGGATATTCCAATAAAAAATTCCAGGTGTATAAAAAATTTCGTTCCACCCGCAATATTTTGTATCATTTATATATGCTTGTGCGGCGCTACCTAGCTGACATTGTATTTTATTGACATGCCATATTAAAGCATGTGGTGGACTAAACGGGGAAACTATATATGCTTCATATTAATTGGTGCCGGGGTAGGAAAATGAATAGATGAAAATCTCAGTTCGAAACGATGCACCCGGAATCGCTATAAGCAAAGCAGTATTTCCATCGATCTTTCCTAGTTCAAATGAGAAATTGCGTCATTTTTCTGAAGAACAATTTAAAGTAAAAAATTGAAAAAAACACGAAAAAAACTTACTCCTTAGTCCATCAAAACGTCTTCCCTTTTGGTTTCTGGCGACCTTCTACAACGTCATACGCTCTTGGGAATAACAGAGTTACATGTCCTTCTTCCAATGCTATACATGAAACAATGCTATGATTCATTTGAATATGTTGTGCGAACAATTTCCTTAAAGAAAACTGCTGATATTGCGAATTGCTTAAAGGAGCACCCTGAAATTGGAGCCTGGTTCCCAGTAACTAATTTCCCTTATTAACTCGCATTGCGCAATGGGCAAGCGAGTTCTTAAAATGGGAAGCGTTCTTAATATTTTTATGGTCGAGAATTTCGCGACCCGCAAGGTGCGATAAGGTGCGCTGACCTGCAAGCCACGAGCTACGCAGGCGTGGTTGCTAAGCTAACGTGCATGCTGCACCGCTGAGTGCATTCGTTCATGACGTTCATCGTTTTCTTGTGGACAGAAGACGATAAAAATTCAAGATATTTCGAAATGTGGCTTCCAAGTGCCATATTTATCTTAACGCTCACCTTACATACAACTGCACACGCCGAGCACAGTAGCTCTACACTAAAAGATGCCGAGCGTTTTCGAAACGGGGTGTTCTGTTGCTCTCATGCTTTTCAAATTCATGTTGAACCAAAGTTGCTTAATATCGCTATGAATTCTCTGATCAAACTGAATACAATCTCAAATCAATCTCACGAGTTCTCACTAGTACCATCAATTGAAAACAATACAACGACGTTGTCAATGAACTGTGTACATGACGTGCTACGAATATCTGAACAAGACTAACTCCACTGTGCAACAAGACTAACTTCACAGCGCAATTAAATTTATCCAATGCTCTCCCCATTTTCACGCCCGTTCCGTTGCATAGCTGAACAACTATGGCAAGCCCAAACACACGCCTGAGTAAGCGTCTTTTTTGTCATAGCCCTAGCTCGACTCAAGCAATGCGAGTTTAATGCCTAGCGGGCATCTTGTTATATTATGGATGTTTATATATTATATATTCCAGTATGGAATTTAATTTAATATGGAAATAATGTGTCATGCAGTAAATCAACATATGACACACACGTTTACAGAATTATACAGAATTAATAAAATATTCCTGCATGAAATTATTTCAGTTGCTTAATTAAATCTATGACATTCCAAGCACTCTGTTTATCACAGTTCACAATCTCTGTCTCTCTTTATATAAAACAAATAATCCTAATTATTCGTAAAGGTTTCTCAAAGACAAAGCTAAGTTAGAAATTAACTGAAAGAAGCTTTATCTCTCGATCTCGAAAGTATTCTCTTAACCAAGTCTTTCATAGCTTTAGTAAAGCAAACCATCGAAAACATTTGATAATATTTAATGAATATTTTACCAAAGGCTATAAACTCTTCAGTGTCGAAACGGTAAATAGTTGGCTTATTGACTAAATAATTTGACCCACTGTTAAAAGGCTGAGTTATCTTATGTTAATTTTATATCTAAATTAGAAATGTGCGCTGCAACGAAATTGAGTGCAAAAAAGCCTCCCATTAAAAACGAGGACTCGCTAATGAATGACAATTATTTGAATACAATACTTCCATAATTGATAGCTAGGCTTTTAAATATACAATCCTAGGTAACGGCGCTTGGTAGAGCGTTCTACTGAACTAAACAGGCGTTTTTCTATTGCTCTCTTCACTCTTTCAATAACGACGTATCACAAAAGTAATCCGCCATCTTGAGCCTAGAATATTAATAATCGTCTTAATCGCTGTGGAGAATATAAGCCGCGATACTAAAATCATTCTATTGTATTCTGTGTGCGTTCGTTGCTTTCAACTTACGGTATTTTGGTGAATTTGCCCAGTGGCGTCGCCAGGTTGTTCAGACTGGGAGAGGGGACGATAAAAAAATGAAAGGCGCGGGACGATATAAAAATGAAAGGCGCAAGACCTCTAGGGGGGTTCGGGGGCATTCCCTCCGAGAAAATTTTGATCTCTAGGGTCTCTAAAACGCTATTTCCAACATTTTCAGGCAAGTTTTATGAAAATCTGAAAGCCACAGATCGGCTATTTTTGTTATAAACAAAAGGTTTTCACAAGGGCAACTTTTTGTTGTTAGCTAATCTAAATGTATCAACAAGAGTATCCAACTCAATTTTAGCTGCAAAGTCTCTTCCTATGTTGATATGTTATTCTAATGTTACTCTTTACGTGATCAAAAGTAACGTTAATTCGAAAATTAATTATTTACACGGCTGTTGGAAATGAGAATCATTGTACCTCCCCCCATCAATTTTCTCTTCAGATTTAGAAAAATCTCAAAAGTGGTCTTTAGAGTCACTGAATTTGCCGCCCTTACTTGCATGCAAAAGCTCAATACGACGATATACATGAAAAACTGTGCGATCATCTATGAGGTAAAATGAGGTATTGAGAAAGCAACCTGGTCCCGAGGGCCTTCTGTGTTGTGTACACGTGTGTCCACGGCGCGCGGTGCGGCGCAACGAAGACATGCAGGAGACCCTGAGGACGAGTGGCAGAGGAAGATGGTATATTCCCAACAAAATTGTCGCAACTTGCAACACAATCTGATTTCAACGTATGTTAAGTAGAAATGTCGACACATGTTGCCTTGTGATTGGTAATTTATGTGTATAAACATTTTCAACATGCGTTGAAGTCAGATTTTGTTGCAAGTTGCAGCAATTTTGTTGCCCGTATTACTCCACCTTTAGCAGCAGATCGAGATTAAAATAGAGACAAAACAGATTATTCATATTATCATTACAAGTATTTATGGATAGAGTACAGCAAATGTAAGATAACCAGTATGACCTGGTGTTTGCCTTACAGGGCATGCAGCTAGGATATCCAAAGTTTGTTTACATTTTCTAGATACAACGCGTCGTGAATTGTTAATCGCTAAATTTTCGCCAAAATTTTCGCCCGTAGTTTCCTCGCTATTCTCGTACTTAGTTTCCTCGTAGCCCTTGTTTTGGGTTGTCTCGTTACTCTCAGCCCCAGTTTCCCCGTCGTTCTCCTCGGTCTCGTCGCGCGTGCGCTTTCTAAACGGTTCGTTTACCTCTTCGTCGTTTTCTTCCTTTAAGATATGGCAACAAGATATCGTAATCAGAAAATGTCCTCGCAGTGGTGAGGGCCTCCACAGGAAAACAATGAAGAGTGTTCATAAAATAAAGAATTTGGAATATCCGGTGTAAGGGGGGTAAGTGTAGCAGTTCTTCTCAACTATTTTCATAAACACACTATCATGCTTTTGGGAAAGAAAAGTCAATCATCAAAATTCATCAAAAAATTTCGGCAATGTTCAAGAGTTCCTTGAAGCTCTCACCTCGAACATATATTTGAATTCGGTCTAGCAACAGAAGCAGCCTACATATGCGCGTAATTAAGCTAACAGGTTATCTTTCAGCAAAAGACAATGCCATACTGTTGGCATTATACTTGCTCACCTCACTCTTTCCAAAGTTTGGTTCCTCAAGCGTAATAGACCTTACGTCATGTTTCCGCTGCAAACACTCCATTGAACGAATATCTATAAATATCGATGGATAAAGAAATTTTAGCTACACTGCTCCAAAGCCGGATCCGGCATTTTGGCTGAATGATGCGATATTTTGAAGCATATTGCAGCACCTCTTAGTCTGAGACAAGAATTCACAATTCTTTTCGTCAAAATGGTAGATTAAATATTTTTAGCATTTCGAATTGTGTTCCAAATAAAACACATATATGACTGTAAGAGTCTCTCTCTTTTTAAAGCTAACCTTTGAAGCCATTTTCTTCCAGAACTGTACACGTTTGTTGCACTTGCTCAATGCATGGTGAAAATGAACAGAGATGCCCTCCACTGAGCTATTTAAAAGTTAAAGTAAAAGTTAGGTTTAAACATATAGATTATAGTTCTCCTACTTAAAGGTTTCCGATTTTGCGCGTGTTTCTAAACCATCAGGCATCATGCCTTCTCATTTTAGTAGAAATCGCAGCTCAAACACAGCCACAGGCTCAGTTAAATGCGATAAACCAGATAAAGCGGTGGTCACAAAAACTGTCATTCTTATGCATTGCAGTACTTTTTCAAGTTAACGCTTCTTTGAGGCCATTATATTTATAGGTCGCGGGCAACTTTTAACACCTTTAAGGCATCTTTTGAAAACTTCACAGCATCCCAAGGTGAAGGAAGATCGAGAAACACTAGAAAATGAAAATACAAAAAAATATGGTCTCTGTGGGCGTGGCAATTGTCGAACACGTACGTGAAGCGAAATGTCAAACAGCAAAGTCTGTTTTTATGGCTTTAAAGTGCCTATATCACTTGTGGGATCTTTACAGATTTGAATAGAGCTTGAAAAATTAGTTTATAAGTTCTACAACCTTTTTTTATATAATTAGATAGTTTCGAAAATACGTCGGTTGGGGGGACTGGGACTCAGGAATGATTTGCAAACACGCCGTCTTTTATAATGTAAACATAAAAAGTTTCACTGGCGATATAGTTTGCGCTTTTGAAGAAAAAAATGCAGGAATGATGCGTTGTGTATGGCTGAGCAACTGGGCGAGTTTTTCTCAAAATATTTTACGTTATTGGAAGATCGAAGTAAAATTACGATTGATTATATTATGTTTGACAAGAACTCGGTTCCTGAGTCCCAGGCCCCCGAGCACGACGGAAATTTAGTCAAATCGTCATGTTTAGATGTAAATATCTCCGAAACTATTTAACTATATCAAAAAGGGTTGGAGAACTTATAAACTAATTTTTCAAGCTCTATTCAAATCCGTAAAGATCCCACAAGTGATATAGGCACTTTAATCATGGCGTCTTTCTAAAGTGACCAAACGATAAAATAGTGCGATGTACTGCAAAATGCCAAAACAAAAATGTGTGACATGTTGTGGTATAGTATAATACGGATACCAGCATCAGCTACGTGATTTAGACCGAAACCATTCAAGAGAACATCTTTGTTGGCAACAGTAACAATATCACCGAAACCATGTCTTACAAATTCGTCCCTATAAATGCGAGAAATGAATTTAATTTATATAGTCTGCGTGAATTATACTACGAATTCAATAGATGACGAAACAATGGAAACCTCAAGTCCTTAATTTGACGTTTTGAATTTCAGAATAATTCACCCTGGTTATTTTCCAAGAATAAAATAATTCTTTGTTTATAGGAAAAAAAAACTGTTCCCAGAACATTTAATTTAAGAAGCTGGTGGACATATCACCTGGCAACATTTGCTCTTTGCTCATGGAATTCAAATGTATAGAGGTGACCTGTGGGTGCAATTGTCCTCATTATGGAATGTGACATGGAACCACTTCCAGTACCTGAATGACAAAACACCAAGATATAGACCAATTAAATGACAATGAAACATAGTATCTACCCCCTTTTATGTTATTACCAATATACTGTCCAATAAATCAAATACTAATCAATATTTATTTTTTCCCAAGTGTTAGCATACCTGCTTCAACAACAACAGAACCAGGTTTTAAATCCAGTTGGAGGAGCACCATGCTTATGTCTGCATTGTATAAAATTTGTGTCCTGTGTGGCAGAGTTGTGGTCCACAACTCTGGTGTAGCATGAAGGAGATACAGCCAACCTTTCTTGCTTTTCGAATATATCTATAGCATTACACAACATTTTTAGCAGTATAAACATGCTGCAGTCATTATTTTGCATCATAAACCTAATTTCACTGACAATAAACTTAGTTGTTGTGATATACCATATTTGAATGATTAAAATTATACGGTAAATTTGGTAATATGGACATGCAATGCATTTTTATAGGCATTGTACAGTATGCAGGGATATATATCATTAATTCACTTTAGAAACAGGATAACTTGAAACAATAATATTGACATATACACTATATATTACATTCACTATTCAGCTAGTTCATTGTTAATAGAGACAGTATATCAGTGCTTGCCTCTGCACATGCACTAGTTAGTGCATACTCTGAAACAGATGCCCAGGTGAATCCATATACAATATTCCAATTTTGCAAACCTTATGCAACATTTTTGGTCTTTGTTTAGACAAGTTGATAATGTGACTGACTTGCGTGATTACTGATAAGTACATACAGTACCTTTTTGCCATATTTTTGCCCAATAAGGTAGTTATGAGGAAAGTGACCAAATTTTGTGTTCAGGACTGATCCTTGCTTGATTTGCAATGCATCTTTTTTTGTCCTGCCCTGAAATGGTGAATTACATATGCATGTGTGTATTTCCGCATCCATTTTTGGTATGCATGTCTATAATTGAGAATGTTGTATGGAAACACAATGCTGGTACAATTCTAAAATTCAGTATCAATGATCATGGTTAATTATAGTACAACTGCAAATTTTCCAAAGTGTAGCGGTCAGGATAATAAATGAAGGGGGATATGTGGCATCAGGAAGCCATAAAATGAAATTTTTAATCAAATAACTATAATAACAAAAAGATATTGAATTTATATATATACCAAGTATACAATAACAGTATCCCCATCTTCAACAAGACCTTTGTATTTTGCAAAACTCATAGTTCCTATTTCAGAAGTAGAAGAGTAGTAGAAGTCGATAGTATGCAGTTGATTGATGAATTGTTTATAATCTGAGTTCTAGATTATTATTTTTTATATTATTGTATTTATACTAGTTTGTACACTGATCATGATTCATGCACAGACAAGTGTAGGCATCAGAAAGTGTGTTGGATGTATCCCCCGGAATCTGCTTGATGCCAGCACCAGATAAGTATTAGGAAGGGGGGGGGTTTGAATTTTTTAAAAATATACTTTAACAAGTGACTGGTTGCTTTGGCGACGTTGAATCAAAATGGCGGATCGCATGGGTAAATATGCTATAAAGGTATACGCTTTTGTTACGGATTCTGGCGTCTTTGAACGTTCAAATGGCTAGTTTTATTTTGATATGTTCTTGGGCGCTTAGGCGATGTACTATACTATAATTACATCACACGATACGTTTTGAAAACGGTAGAAAAGGACTCCTCAAATTGCTCGACGAGCCTAAAGTTTCAAAACATCACGTTGGAAAAGTATTAAAAGCACAACAGAGCTCGTTCCTGCCAATCAGATAAGAGTTTCAGGATATAATACGACGCAGTGTGTATTGAAGGAAAAAATAATCGGATAAAATTATGAGTGAACAAGCAAGATTAGATTCCCAAAGTGCCGAGGTATCTGCAGGTGACACTTCCGACGTTTTTCTCGACGATCTCATCCAAAAAGTGGTTCACGGTTTTGTATCAAGCTTACAGAATGATTTACCAGACATGTGGCAGTCTTTTAACGAAGTCCTGCAAATAATACAGCCTTATTCATCTCTTATTGAGGAAAACGCTCAGTTGATGCACTATGTTGAACGTTCGTACCAGCACGTTTGTGAAAAACCAGAATGTGGACTCGATCTAGATGCACTTTCTTTAGCATTTCCACAACAAGTATCCAAAATACAAGCTAACTCAACTTTGGCAACGAATAAAAAAGTCAAGTTTCCTGCTGTAACTACAGATGTAGAATCCGAAGCCAGTTTGCCAGACAAGAAAGTTCAGGATAGAAAGGGTATTAATGTGCCAAAAGGAGCTGTCATTCCCCCACCAGATGAGGTATATGACAATAATGTTGCAAACATAAAACAATTTTTTCCAACAACGGAACTAAATATCAGTGATCTACGAACATCTCTTCCATTTGTTGTCTATGAGATTGGTCTTCGTGAGGCCTCATGGGGCCAGCCTTTAGGAATCACAGCTACTGCTCTGAATACTGACTTAGCGGAGATGCTTCCAGGGGTTATTAGTCCAAGAACCTCGGGGCAACATTTGAGTGAAGACCAGTCATCTACTAGTAATAAGTCTGTTCAAGATAAACAAGACACCAGAGAGGAAAAAGCTACGAAACGTCTGTTAACAGGGAGGGAGGTTGTAGAGCGATTTGTGAAAGGCCATTTTTTGGGATCAACTAAGTTTGCTTACCTCAATAGAGCAGAGAGCAAGCACTATGATCCATACAACTTGATTGTTGTTCAAAGAAAGAAGATTAAACCTGAACATTTTGTGGTGTCATCCCATGCGATACTCCATGTCATACCCAACAGACCATCCGAATTAGTTCCACTCAGTCAATGGTACAAAGAAGCACTTTTATTCAATGCAATTCTTAAGTTCAGCTTCTTCAAGAACTTCTTGATCGCTAAAATGTTCTTAAGGTGGAGATGTGTCAAGAAGCTCAGTCAGTTCAGATCACTGTGTGACCATATATCAAAATCCATGATTACCTGCACACCGGGTTTTGGCTCAGCTTTACTTCGGATATACTCACTGGTGGTGGACCTTGATCAAGTGCAATTACTCCCTCTCAATGACCAAAGATGTAAGCCCCTTCAAGAATTCAACACCACAACCATCAAGTTATTGGATGATGCCCAAGAATGTCTCAACATGTTTTATACTTACTGTTTATCAGTAATTAACAAAACAAAAGACAATTGTTTTGAATATCTGGAACATTGTAAGGAGCAGTTGGAGAAGAAGCCTAAGAATAAAAGAGGTCAATCCATCTCTGTTGCTAAGGAACAAAAAGCAATTAAATTACAGAATTTGAAACTTGCACGCCAGGAAATTTTTCAGCTGGAGAGGTTCATTCAACTTGTTGAACAGATTCTCATCACAAAGTTACTCTCACTTGCAAGGCAAAATGTTTGCACATTTGTCACTGATGTGTTGGACAATGGAGTTATCAAGGATCAAGGCCTTTTTTATGTCTCACTTAAGTTTGACAAGGCGGATAAACTCGTTCTTAATCCTGACCATGTTATGCTGCAAGGGTCTCTATATTTCGCTTTGGAAAGTGTTTTAAGGATTCTTTGTCAAACGTCTGATGCTTTGCAAGCTGGTTTTATGAATGAACATGACCAGAATGTGGAAAGGGAAGACTCTCCAGCTACTACAAGCAGGTAAATTTTACTGTTACTTTTACATTAAAACATTGCGTAGTAATTAATGTTCATTTAACGTCCTCTCTGACCCCCCCTTTCCCGTTTGATCATGATCTAACATACAGGGGTGCACTAGATTTTGTCATGTTTGTGGGTCAATGGGCTTTTGGGTGCTAGTCACTGACTCACTGTTGGTCTTGGGCATCGCATTGAGCAGAGGGAACACCGTAATTGCAATGTTTTTTATTGATTTTGTTTTATTGATTTATTACAATTGCTAATTGCTACATGGTAAATACATTCTCGAAATTCTACCTCTACAAAACTCTACTTTCAATCTTCTCAAATTTCATATAATCAGCGACAACGTAAACATAACTCCTGATTACGCACTGTCTGTATAAAATCAGGCGAAGACCTGTTTACTTCTTGGGGGCCAATTTTTCCTATTTGATCGAAGAATAGACCTTTTTCATAATGACGTCTAACGCCGAAAGCCGGTACATTAATTTTGCTGAACCAATTGAACATCGTGTGACATTTGCATCCTGCGTCTGATAAAGAGGTCTGTTTCATGTAGCTATGTGGATTTTAGTTGAACTCAGACCGGGTTTTTTATCCATATTTTTTGGTGAAACTACGGAAAATGCAAAGGAATTAACAACCTAAAAATTATTCCCCCTTTCGCGTTCTCAATTTGCATTACGACTTGAAGATAATGGGACAATCTTGGTTGACGATACAACATCTTTTGAAATTGAAACTGAACAATCATGGGCAAAGCATCGTGCAGGTCGTTACAGCTGGACGAGATATTTGATTGGTCAATATAGAATTAATTTTTAATAATAAATAATTCCTATGAAAATGTACAGTAAAGAAGGTTGAATATATTTGTGCCAAGGATGAGGGGAAAGAGTGTCGCGGATACCATGTATATTCGACGATTTATACTAATATATGAATGGCTCTATTATTGAAGTTGTGGATCACTTACAAGCTCTGGATCAACACTTTGGAAAAAAATGGTTGTAAAAAGGCGCCCAAACATTTTTGGTCACAGCCGGAACCCCCTAATCGAATTAGACCTATCTAGCTGACTCACGACCTATATCTGAACACATCGCAACTGTTTTGCAATGTTGCTAAAGACGTTCCCTCACTGAACTTTACACCTGTCGATGTAGTTGCAGTCCCAGAAGAATACATAATTAGTCCATCTGATGTCTTAAAAGCGTTAATCAGTATTAACACTCTATAAAGCACCTGGTCCTGATGAAATACCCATTTGGCTGTGTAAATCTAATGCCGATACTCTTTCCTCGCCAATTTCATCAATTTTCAACGCCTGTATTCGTAAAAGGAAAGTTCTTTCTTTGTGGAACTCAGCGAATGTCTTACCAATTTAAAAGAAAAACACTGCCCAGGTTATCAATACGGAAATAAGTGCTCTACATACTTGCCTTAATCCATATGATTCATCATCGGTTAGCTGCCGCAGACTTCTGGTTCTGTAATCCATGCCGTTATGATTGACTTTTCAAACATTTGACAGAATTGATTATAATATTCTTATTGAAAAGCTGCAAGCACTCGGTGTCCACCCGTGCTAAATAAACTGGTGCGCTGATTTTCTGCATTCTCGGTACCTAAGAATCAAATTTGGTATAAACATATCGTCTTGGAAACTGGTACATGCTGGAGTCCCACAAGCCACCAAGCTCGGTCCCCTTCTCTTTCTAGTTATGATCAATGACCTAAAGACATATTTCGCATTTTATAAATACGTGGATGATTCTGCCCTCTACGAAGCTGTATTAAAATCCTATATCAGTGAAATACAAGATGATTTCAACGAATTACAAACCTGGACGGCTAATACCAACATACTTTTAAATGTGAAGAAAACAAAGAAGAGGTCAGAATCTCCTTTGAAATGGAAGAACCGACGCTTTGCTAATTAACCGCCAACAACAGTGCGGTGGAAATGGTGCCTTGGTTTAAACTCCTTGGTCTTATCATTTCATCCGACCTGGCTTGAGACCGGCATGTTATTTATATTTGAGGAAAGGCGAACAAAAGATTACATCAATTTCTGATTTAACACGTATTTTTCATTCACTTCTCTCTCATTATCTCATCTTTAGTAGAACAGTACAGTTTTTAAATTTTTAGTAGAAAAATTAGATTACGTATTTTAGATTGTACAGCGCTTTGAATATTCATATAATTAAGCGCTATATTTAAATATTAATTTTATTATTATTATTATTTAATTATTATGAAACTGTCTCATGAGATTGAACAAATTCAGAAAATGGCGGTGAAAATAATCCTTCCCTTGCAGGAATCGTATGAAACAGGCTTAGCTAAAATAAATATTACAACATTAGCTGAACTGACGTAGACAAGAATTATGCATACAAATTGATTATTTAATACATCAAACATCAAATGTGCAAAAATTGGTACTTCTATTGTACAATGTAATGGCATTTCACAAAGTTACTTGTGTTCGACTTGTGTCGAAGTTTGCCTGTAAGGTTTTGATTCAGCTTACACCTGAAGGAAAATAAAAAAATTCAACCCTACGTGTTGAAAAAAAGAGCAATGCGGATTATTGGTATCATCGATAACAAGCTGTATGATATTGGTTCGGTCTACGGAAGTTGAAAAGCAACATCGCTTTAAAATCGCTCTAAAAATCCCTTTATTTTATCTTACAGCTGTTGTTATAATGATCTATTGTAAATTATTTTAGCTGCATCGTATTTTTGATATTGTAAACGCACTAAATTCAATGTGTCTGCTGCAAGTTATTGCCTATCCTATCCAGGGTTTCCACAATATATTATTATTAAATCTATTGAGATATTCCTTAGACACAACAAACGTTTGTTTTTACGTTTAATGTACGTTTCTCTTTACGTTTACGTTTGTCAAACGTTTAATTACATGATTACTTTATTTACAAGATTGATGTAATAATATAAAATGGTATATTATATAATAATATAAATTGGTTCGTCTTGGTTCTACTTGTGTCTTGTTTCTACTTGCTCCTCTTTGACAGCAGTCGCGCCTTGTCGCCAGTCGCTCCTTTTTGACAGGAGTCGCGCCTTCTTGTTTCCAGCCCCGCCTTTGATCTTGATCTTGTCGCCGCGCGTCTATTTGTTGCCAGTCGCTCTATGTTTCACCTAGCGCGCCTTCTTGTCGCCAGTCGCGCCTTCTTGTCGTCAGTCGCTCCTCCTTGTCTCCAGTCCAGCCTTCGATCTTGTCGCCGCGCGTCTATTTGTCGCTAGTCGCGTCTATGTTTTACCTAAGCGCCTCCTTGTCTCAAGTCGGTCCTCCTTGTCTCTAGTCCCGCTAACTATGATTTTAATGATACAATGGTTTTAACTGTAAAAATTACGTAATTCAGGCTTTAGGCTGCAAAGTAATTTTATTAAATACAAATACAGGGTGGCTTTCTTGTCGCCTCGCGTCTATTTGTCGCCAGTCGCGTCTATGTTTTACCTAGCGCGCCTTCTTGTCGGCAGTCGCGTCCCCTTGACGCTATTGGCGCCTACTTGTGTCGCCAGTTGCACCTCCTTTTCGACAGTCGCGCCTCCTTGTCGCTAGTCGCGCCTCCTTGTCGCTAGTCGCGCCGTCTTGTCGCTAGTCGCGCCTCCTTGTCGCTAGTCGCGCCTCCTCGTCGCTAGTCGCGCCTCCTTGTCGCTAGTCGCGCCTTTTTGTCGCTAGTCGCGCCTCCTTGTCGCTAGTCGCGCCGTCTTGTCGCTAGTCGCGCCTCCTTGTCGCTAGTCGCGCCTCCTTGTCGCTAGTCGCGCCTCCTTGTTTCAGATCGCGTCTATTACATAGCTACATAAATATGTCTGTTTGTTGCACCTATTTGTCATCAGTTTATTTATTTCAACATATTTGATAACAGTTACGTATCTATGATAATGCCTATCTGCTGCTACTCGCGCCTCCTCGCCATTTCTGTTTACCTGTTGCTTTTCGTGCAGTAACCCTTCAGCACAACTGACTAGATTTCAATTTTCCATTTACTAAAGAGAACTATATAAAAATGTAATCACCTTTTTATGAATTATTTAGTGAAAGAAGTGATTCGAGGCCAACACAATCGCAATCACCCAACATGTTACAGAATTTCCTCATAGGACAATCCCCAGTTATGCCTACAACAATCACCAGCTTGCCTAGACTAAGCATATACGATCGAACAGCGCACAACACACCTGTAGACCGCGTTCGTTGCACTTCCGAATCCACACAGTTACAAGATGGAAGACACGAGAAAACAACAAATCTGAAGTCATTGTTGGAGGAATCACTCGTGGAAGAGGCGCGCCTATCGCCGGAAATGATCGAAGAGGAGCGGCCTGACTCTGCAGAACGGTGCGTGGAGCCAACTAGAAGACTACTAGTGGAAGGAAAATCAATGCCACTTCAACTAAGAACACTGACAAGTCCTTTGTCCAAAAAGAAGCTTGAAGGAGTTGTTTTTCAAGAGTAAGTTTTTTCTCTCAAAATTTTGAATGTACCATATTGCGGCAATTTAGATTCAAGTGGAGGTACTTTGTAAGTTATCATTATTCACTTTCTCATGGGATTTGAAGATGATGTCAATTCGGAAATCCGTTCAAATCGTGTGTCCGTTTTGATCATTATTAGTTTCATAAACAATGCGAATGCAGTACATACAAACAATTACAATTTTTTTTCGAGTATTATCCATTAAGCAACTCGAAGGTAGTGGGCATGGCGAAAAACGTTTTTAGATGCAGAAATGAATGTAAACATTGTGATGTCACATGAATATTATTAGTAATATATTGTCGCCTGCGACTGGCGACGTAGGCAATGTAGGGAAAACAAGTATAGCTATATTTGTAATTTGATTTTACACGTAAGCATTATTGATCGGTTTAGACTACTAGCTAATACCTAGAAGCAACCATGCAGCTTTTGAACAACCGACCATTTTGTATTTGCATCATTGTGAAATGTCACGTCTCCTTATTTTAGCGCGGACATTGTGCAGGCTATCCGTAGGGAAGAGGAAATAGTGAACGATGCCATTGCGGAAGTCACAAATTTTTGCAGCAGACACGAGTGGGTAGTGGATGTACACCGGTTTGTTCGGACTTGGAACAATACCGTTCTGGCTTCTTGGCGTGGACGACCCACTGAAACAATTGAAGTAAGTATGTATCGTAAGTACATTGTGGTTGTATACTGGCAGGTATGTATTACAACCGATTCTGGGTGAAACACAGTGATCTCAACATATAGAGAACATATAGTTTCTCTAAAAGAGCGAATTCCGCCTTCTTAGGCTAATTATTTGATAAGATAGCTTGTTCTTCATACAAAGTGCCTTTTATCATTGTTTAAAGGTTTATTTTTATATTTTTTTATAAAACCAAAACTATTTTGTTACGTTTAAGAAGTGCTATACATTCTGTCAATATAAATTATAGCAATTATATATCACATATCTATTTGTTAAAGATAAGATTATATCTCTTCATCAGAAACAATTGTCACAGATAAAGACCTGGATTGAGGATATGCGCAAGTTCACTTTATCTTTTTGCACGACAAATGGTTTGCTTTTCGTCGACTGTAGCGGAATACGCGACCGCATTATTCCAAAACTTGATGCAATCTTTAGACAGTTCACCAAAATGGTAGCTAAGGATCTTTTGCAGCTATGCAAAGATTTTAACAACGAACTGGCTTCACTAATACAGGTATGCATATAGTATACAATAATTATATAGCTAGTATATAGTCAGCATATGAATATAGCCACGCCCGTGTTTTTGTTTTTGCGATTTTTCAATCTGAGATAAATGAGTCTTTTGTTACCTACAATACCTAGTAATTAACAGGTAATTTCGCCAAATATATATAGGAGAGTTGGTTCTGGCTGATTCACGAATGTAAACATTCGCTACGTATTAAGGAAAATACAAGGAAGAAAATTATAGTTATGTTCACTCCAATGATGTGTTTTTCTAGCAACTGTCATACAAAAGCAATGATTTGAGAGCTTTTGCGGATTTTATGGCCCTCCAGAAAACAACAAAGGAGAAAGTACCAGCATTGCACGTAAAAGTAGATTATATCAAGAGTTTATTTGAGGTAATTGAAAGTAAAAATGCTATACTCATTGGTACACATCAAGTCAGAAATTTGCGTCCATGCATTTCATTTTAATTAGTCAAGGAAGGAGAGCCTTTTCGTGCCATTAGGCGAAATCTTGTATGATAATCTCGCTGGTCTCAAATACTGTACTTTAGAGGCAATTGGATTGAATTTTTTGTTTATAAAAAATCAGTTTCTTATTGATTCATCACTTTTATATAATCTAAGGCAGCCTTCAGGAAAGCACTTAACCTGAACGCAGTCTAATGAAATTTTTGGTTTTTCTCTCAGTCTAATAAAATGTTTTGTTTTTCTCTGATAAGATGATACGATCCAGTCAGCGACAACTGACACGTGAAGAGGAAGAAGCAGAGGAAAAGGTGAAACAAAAGAATTACAGACGTGCTTTTTATATCTTGTTAACCAACTTTATTTCTATATCTTAGGAGTTGTTTTATTCCTATATTTTTTTACCTCACTATAGACATGGTCTTCGTGGGAGAATTTTCTACTCTGTCTTCAAGAGTCATCAGACTATCTTATCGTGAAGATGCCTCAGATCTTAGGAGATGTGGAAGAAACAATCATGGTTGGTGGCTATTTGTGTAAAATGAAGTTATTCTAATTTGGAAAATTCTAACCCATACCTCCTGTTTAATTATTGTAAACATGCATTGCATGCACTGATGGTCTCGCTTATCTGTTGTGTATGTTTTAATTTTCTCATTTTTTTTCAACATCTTCCCCCCCCCCCCTATGTTCTAATATCTAATTTTTCCACCTAACCACAGTCGTTGGAGCACCAGGCTCGAGTAATCGGTGAGAAGGCCACCAGAGGAGAATATTTAATTCCTGAAAATAATCCAACACTAATTTTGACTCAATTACGAGAGGTAAGAAACTTGCCCCATTTAATAGCTATACATTTACTTGGATTTCGCGCGCAACACCGAAAATGTAAGAAAGGTCATTTTGCAAAATTACTTGATGGCATTTTATGAAAAGCGTCTAGGTGATTATCTTAAGGTCTGTTCACACGATCCAATTTTGTCGGATCCAATTCACTTGTGATGTATGTTTTTTATTCTGTTGACTTGCAATGTATATGGGCAGCAAACCAACTTAAACCAACACAGTACTGCTTTATCAATAACCTGACTTTATTCCATACGTCAGAAGTGATTTGGATCCAACAAAATTGGACGCTTGACCAATCATTGAGAACAATTTTCAATAATCACCTAATTGTAATTATATAATATGCATGCATTATTCTTGCATTATACCATGGCTTTGAACATGTGAATCCTCGCTGGCCAACTTGCACACAATCTTGCTTGCATTTTTATATTATCATTTCTTATATTACTTGTTCATATTATTTACTTTTATGATGAATTTCCTTACTTACCAGCTTCGGCAAAGGTTTATGTCACTTCTGAACAAATGTGATGAACTGATTGAGTGCAGGGAGGTGATTTGTGGCAGAAAGTACAACAAGTCAGTCCTATTGGAGTTATTGAAAAAATTAGATGTGCGGTATGAGCTGTGGAAATATTACGATGTGTCTGGACACACTATCCGAGATTGGTTGCAGATCTCATTTCGAAAGGTAAAAACCACTGATTGCAGTCGCGGTCAGTATCACACAGTCAGAGAGAGAGGTAGAAGAATACTATATTATTATACCCCAAATCACTCATATTATAAATCATAAGCAAAATGATAAAGAAGTTATTATAAAAAGATAAATTTTTAAACAACGTCGTCGTCTCTTCGGTATAATTTATCGTTTATATAGATCATCTGCTCGGGTGATCCGGTGAATATTTCACCCTCAGTGTCAATATGGTTGACAAACGCATAAAATTTAAATACCATTGCCAAGTGCACCGCTCAAACCTCTATAGTAGTACTCACTATACTCTAATAGATGAAACGCCCTTTACATGTATTAGTATGTCTGTCTAGATGAATATCAAAAGGGTTATGGAAAAGGTGTCAGAGTGGCAACAGGCTGCGGTAAATATCAAAACTTCTTTGCCCCATGATGACGAGGTATATAAATCATGGGTATATCAAATGGAGTCATTCATGAAGGATTTTCCACTTCTGCAACTGCTGTTCAACGATGCACTAAAGGTAAGTAACTTGGTTTCGGTAAATTTGTTTAGGTGTTCATACTGGCAGAAGGGTAGCGTGGTAACAATTTGTTTACACCATCTGTTTTGTTATGCTTGTTAGCCTCGTCATTGGAAAGCTCTTTTTGTTGGAATGGGTCAGCAATATGATCCAACATGGCAGTTTACTATTGCCGATCTTTATTCTTTCAAACTTGGCCTGCATAAAGAGCTCATCAACTCCATATGCAATGGTGCAGTGAAAGAATACGCGCTCGAATTGAACCTACGTTCCGTTGCCAAGAAATGGACGGAGAAAGATTTCAAGCTGGCCAAACATTTTTGTCGAACCCGGTCACCCGTTAGAAGTGAAACGACCAGTTCTACGGGAAGAAATTCTAGTAGAAAGGTTTGTGCTCTTTTCTTTGAACATCGATGTTCCAAATTTGCACATGCATTATGGCGTATTCTTTCTACTTCGTTGCTAACCTCCTCTCGTGCAAAATATACCTACTCATTTTCCGAACTCAAACTTATTAAGCTCCTTTTCATTGTTAACCCTCTCTAGATCCATATATATATATACACTAGAGATGCGTCTTTTAAGTAACTTTGAAATCCTACATTTTTGAAATCACACGGCGATTAACTGTGTAATTTTCCCGGTGATGCAGTACAATAAATAGTCTGGTTGACATCATACAATCTACATGCACCATCCTATATGACCACTGCGATATTTGAAAAAACGGAGACATTCGATTTTCGCATGCACCTCATGTTGTAACAAGGTACAACATGCACAATAGGAACGTTTTGTATTGTGCGCACAGATCTTTAAAAAGTTTTATCCCTGCTCTTCGAATTTCTAAAAGAAGCTATAGAAACCGTTGTTGAAGGTTCCTCCAAACTCTTATATCGTCATGTGTAGGGTATGAAATCAAGGCAGAAGCAAACAAGATTAGTTGACATGTACATCCTGGCTGGCGACGACGAGCTAAAGTGTCTTATCGAGGTATGAATGTTCGGCTGGTGACTGGTGTCTATAGGTTTTACTTTTTGTATACCTGTGGAAGTTTAATGTAATACGATCTTCTTGCATTGTATACTGCATATTTGAATTACCTCAAGCCTTCAATTTAAAATCCCCATGATGCAAACCGCCTTGCAATTCAGTCTATATCATTGGGTTGAAGATGTTGGATGAAATCCATTCAAAAAACCATCTTAAAAAGTGACAACTAGCCCGGAGGTTTGCAAATATATGGGTGCCTTTACTTGTTTTAGACCCTCCTCGCAACTTCTCTTTATGTCCACCATTGCCGACAACAACTTTGCCAACAATTTTTTTCTTTCCACATTATGGCAACATTTTTTTTTCCAGGATAATCGAGTAACATTACAGTTGATGCTGATTTCGCCTTACGTTGCTGATCTGAAACCAACCGTTGAAGGATGGATGAAAAACTTAGAACAACTGGAGGAGATATTAGGCTTGTGGGTGGCCTGTCAAAAAAAGGTATCTCAACTTACTTTAAGATGATCTTTTTCAACGCCTTGTTTGAAGGGTGCAAAAAATTGCTGATTATCAACCAAAAAAACGGTCAAACTGAGTGTAATTTAAACCAGAATGAGATGAACAGGCCTGAAAATTTAACCGATAAAAAAATTTTTCGATGTTTTTTTGTAAATATCATTAAGTTAGACTATTTTTTTTCTCAGTGGCTGTATCTTTCAATGGTATTTAACGAGGACGCAGGAGCGTATGACAAAGTTGTGTTGGTTCGTTTTGATGAAGTGGACAGGAGGTTCAAGGTAAGCTATTTCTGTACTAAACAAAGAACAAAGTGTTCAGGGATTTTTAGTATTTTTAGTGAATATAGAGCGAAAAACAAGATTTTTTGACAACTTTTTAAATGAGAAGTTTTTTCGCGCTTATAACAGAATTATGTTTACACACTTTCATAAACAAATTACTATTATTACTAAAACACCTTACTTATATTCAAGACTTCAGTTTAATTTTAAATACAGTATTGTCCAGAAATAACCTACCACTGCGGTGCAGTTCGGCTGCGGACTCAGTTTGACACGTAGCAATATAACAAACACTTCAGAGAAAGTTTAATTATCGATTGTAACCTAGCTATTGTAATTTTGAAAATTTAAACTTAGGAGTTTATGTACAGCGTTAGTCAAGATTCGAAGGTACTTTCTGTTTTGGCAAAGAAAAGAGGACAGAAAGGGTATCGTGAACTTCAAGGTGAAACATTAAGATCGATGTTATTCTCGTTGCTCAAAGAAGAGGTATGTTCTATATTATAAAACCTAAAGGTAATGCTACACGAAGCAACTTTCAACATCAACTCGAGTTGATATTGAAAGTTGTTTCGTGTAACTTTACTTTAATCTTCGTTGCATGATAAGAATTCCCTTACAAGAATTTCCCACGAATTTACATGTATATAAAAACATGTGAAATTCCAAACTCACACGAACTCACAAGTGCCTATTGCTAAATTTTCATCCATCGCCCCATGCATCTTAGAGGCACTGCTATCCACCCCTCATATCACAGCCTTAGGCTGTCATTAATCAAGTTTCCAAATTTCAAGTAATCTGCTTATGTAGATAATTGGCTCCTATATAATGAAGTTATCATCCGTGCATAGTCTCCGGTTTCAAATTTTGCATTGTACAAAATTTCAGGAGGAGTTACTCAAGGCTTTATCACACAAAATGGAAAGTGTACGCGAAGACTTTCCCAGACTGTACTTCTTAAGTGACGACGATGTGCTTGACGTGTTGGTCACCTCTAATGATCCACGAAAATTATTGCCTGTTGTAAGAAAATGTTTTCCCGGCATCCGCTCAGTCAAATTCAGTTTTCCAGATGAAGGGATAAAAGCAAACACTGCACTCGATGCTGCTTTAAAGCGTGAGTATTGTACAAAGTCGTATTTTTGTGTTGACTTTCTTGATTTTGGAGCCTGCTAAAGATGATTACGCATGCACTATCACCGTTTCGAGTCACCGTTTCAAGTCAACCTTGCTGAGAGTAAATGTGTTTCACAGGATTGTGAGAATTAATAACTTTTTGTCATGCGGCGCCTGTGATATTCTTGCGTCGATGTTCTTTCGTTGACGGTATCGTGTAAAATATCATTAAATTATTTTTATTCAAGTTTAATTGAACTTTAACGCCTTTGATTTTCTTCCTAGCAGATCGATTTAGCAAATGACATGAAATGAAAAATATGGAGGATAGCTATATATTTTCAAAAAAAAGCATTCCTTTATCATAAAAAGAAACTTAAGATTTTCCTTGCCAGAACATGGAAAAGTGGTTATTTTCAGGATAGTTTTCATTTTCTTATGGCAATGAAAATTTACACCACATGGTTCACATCGACCAAATACGTTTATCGTGTGTTTGTAGAGTGTTCTTATCGCTTCCATGTTTTCGCTTAGCTCATCTTCTTCAAGCAACTGTTATCGAAGGCGAGTACGGAGAACTTATGACTCTTACTGAAGCAATTCCAGCCGGGATGATCTCCCAGGCGTGGTTGAAAGTTCTAGAGAAATCGATGAAAGCGACTCTTATGATGAACTTCACAAAGTGTCTGGTAAATACGCTGTCAAGGCGCAAAGACAAGACAGTCATCAGCGAGTTTCTTGAGAAAGGTACGTTTTACATCAGTATAACTATAAAGCTTACTATAAAGTTTCCTTTAGATAATTTATATACAATATTATATAATAAATGCTGTACTGTACGTATGTAGTATTTCGTGCAGGGTAGAATCAAAATTTTCTAAAGCTATAGCTGTTTTTGGATGGGTCATCAAATAGTGCATGCAAATGCCTTTTCTCCTATAAGTAATCGGGACTGATCGCGTGATCAATTTTTCGCACACGCTTTCTCTGTTGGAATATTCCTCATACATACCTCTACCCAGTGGCGGATCAAGGGTAAGTCAGTAAAAGTATTCTTTAGAAATGAATAACCAATAGCGTTGTTATTAGGTATTTTAAATTGGAGATTAGGCCGTGTAATTTATTCTGACTTATCCTAAATCCGCCACTGCCTCTGCCATTCACTTTGTCCCTGGCGAGTTTGTACCTGACCTTCTATCAGTAGCTATAGGTCGGTCAGGGCATTGGTTCGTTTTTTTACCCATACTGACGTTGTTGACACGGTAAGCTAAAATAATTTTTGAACATCCTTGATTTAAAAATCGTGCTCTGTTATCTGCATATTATCACTGCACAGTTCGTTATGTAGCTAAATAAGCATGGTGTATTTGGGATCATCATGCAGTCACTCAGTCAGATAAAATCGTCAGGTTTAGGCCGTCCTGAAAGGGTTGAGAATGAGGTTGAAGGTGAAAGGGTGAAAGCTGTAGCAAATGACAAAGATGAAGAAATTCCATTTCTCCTGCGATATCCATCTCAATGTGTTCGCTGTGTTGAAGCTGTTATTTGGTCAAAAAACGTGTCGAGTGCTCTTGCGTGCGATGACAAGAATGCTCTGAAAACTTTAAGGTGAGTGTTTTATACAATGTCTGGTCAGATAAACCTCGATCTCTTTACAAAAAAAACTAGTATAAACCTGTTGTTTTACCTGTTGTTAATTCTTTTTGTATGCATGCACTTAGAAGTGTCAAATTTACACTTTGCATGAGCGAAGAGTAATTATAGAAATAAATATAACTTAGGCTATATTTACTATATATCTGGCTACGCCTTTTACTATTCCCTTCATTACAATATAGCTGTATATTTCTATATTCGTTTAGTTTGTTAACTTCACGCCAAGTAGAGGATTATGGACATGTTCTAAGTGTAAAAAATTCCGAAAGTCTTGAAACGGTTCCACGTCTTCGTCCAGTTTTGCAATCTTTACTGGTCCGTGCAGTTCATCAGAGGGATGTCATAGAAAGTACGTACCCCAGGATACTCACACTTCAATATCTATTATTTATGTGCTTTTTAATTAATTTGATTACTTAACATCATAAAAGAGTTTATCCAGCAGCAACAAAAGCAACAACAAAAAAAAAACAGCAGAAGCGGCAACAACTGCAGCAACATATAATTCATCCATTCATCTGCAACTGATAAAAATATAACAACAAAAACAACTGCGACAATAAAAACAAACTACAGCAGAAACAAGGAAAACGTCGTCAACAACAACAATGACAAAAGCAACAACAAAACAACGACAAAACAGGAGCGACAACCACAAAGAAACAGCAACAATAATAAAGCAATAGCAACAAAGATACATAAGAAGCACAACAAAAACAAAAACACTAAATGTTAATAAGACCAAAATATCGCATAAAAAAATAGCGTATTATCAAATTCTTACGATGAGTACTATAGTTATTTTTTTTTAATTTGAACATATCAATAATTATTTGAGCATACGAGTTATAATCACTAAAGTTGTAAATGTTTTTAAAATTGCAGGACTCGTCGCATGCAATGCTGCATGTTCGCATTGTTTTGAGTGGCAAAGCTGTCTTCAACATGAAGTTCCGTTAAACGAAGTTTATCATACAACATATTACTCTGGCCTAACCGGTTCAAGTCATGTTGAGTCTACACAAGGTTAGCTCGAAGTCCTTCGTTGCCTATATTCTGTAGCTCTCTGGTAAAAAGCAAATAAAAAATTATAAAAGATACCACTGTTAGAAGAGAAAGTCAAAGGAATAATCAAAAGCAAAAAGAAGTCTTCGTGTAATCATGAAAAGACGTGGTCATTTATGGTAGTAAATGACTACTATCAAAAACATTATACTGGAGTAGAGTTTTTGTGATTATGATGGTTATGCATGCTTATGATATTATACAGAAAAACTGGCTTAATTTGATGTTTACTCTTTTTTTGTAAACATTCCGTATTTTGTTTTAAAGATACGATACCTCTGGATATGAAATATGAATTTGGAGGTTACGACCTTGTCCTCCTTGGTTCAAAATTTCCCTACGGTTTTGAATACATGAGTGAGCGTGCATCGCTTATTTTATCTCCGTTGACCGAACGATGTTTCATGACGCTGAGTTTGGCTTTGCAACAATACTCATGCGGCACTCTCATTGGCTTTAATGGATCAGGAAAGACTGAAACAATTAAGGAACTAGGGAAGGTTAGTTTGTGTACTGAGTGCCTTTCTTTATACAAGGTGCAAAAAAATATTATGACAATTCATAAACAAGCAAAAAAATTTTCAAAGAAGAAACGCCATCCCAGAGGGTGGTTTTCAATGGCGTAGCCAGAACGATAATTAGTGGGGCCCATATTCATATATTCATGCCACGCAGGATTAATTTTTGTTAGCATGAATATATGAATATACCCCCCCCCAATTATCAATGCTGACTACGCCACTGGGTTTTCTTAATTCGCTCCTCTATTCTGTACTGGGGCCAGTTGTATAAAAGACTAGTTAACTTTTAACTGTAATTAAGGACAGAATTGGCCAATCAGAGTTGTGTATTTCTGAGTTAACTAGGATTTAACTATGCAAAATATAGTTAAAGAGTTTTATCAACCGGCTCCTGATTACAAATCCTCGAAGAGCCTATGACAAGGTTACATTTTTCATTATCATTTAGAATTTTCCTATTTTTTGTTACAACTTGTATTTCATTCATGGTTCGTAAAAAAGTATTCACTGGCAGGAATAACGTTTGTTAAATGATTATTAAATGATTACAGTTGATGGGCCGACATTTGGTGTTTTATAACTGTTCTCGATCCATGGCAACCTCAGTAATAACGAGAATGTTGACTGGAATGATTCTTAGTGGTAGTTGGGTGTGTTTTAAAGACCCCCATAAACTGTCCCAGCTAATGTTGTCGATACTGGGTGATTATCTGGGCTGTGTGAGACAGGCGTACCATTGCTTGATGGCGAACAAAAATAATCAGTACCAAGTTAGAGGTCAGAGCGACGATTTAAGGAAGGAGGAAAAGGTGGGCCTTCTTCATAAAAAAATACAGTATCTTAGTTCATAAGTTTTAAATCGGATGTTAGAATCAAAGTTAAACCAACTGTGCACATGCAACTGGCGTTGCGACTCAATTCATAACAGTTTTTCTTATAAAAGTCCTACAGCTGAAGCGTTTTGTATTCCCTAACGCACTTGTATTAAAGTTAATATAATCAAATGTTTTCATTTTCATTCAAAGAGAGACGATAATTGGGGGGGGGGGCACATATTCATATTTATATGTTGTGCAGAATTAATTACTTTTCAAACCCATTGTCTTTACAGGTCAGCTAACATGAATATATGAATATGCGCTCCTCCCTCTCAATTATCGTCTCCCGTACGCCGCTGTTCAAAGTTTATAATACCATAACTTTATTAGGTTAATTATGGCCGATGTACACTTATCTGTTTTTGTGCCTTTCAGGCGAAATGTAATAAACAAAGACGCAACAGTGTCGCAACCCTTGACCCCTTAACGTTGCAAGTCACTCGTTCAAAGACATCCCACGATGGAAGTCATGAAAACTCAGTGAGTTCATTCTATACTATATAGCTCTTAACCCTATATCTTTTGTAATAGCATCATTCGGAGAATAATAGATAGTCGATTAGATATAGTTAGTATAGATTGAGATATATTTTAACATGCAACATTATTCCAGTAGCGTGTTAGATAACAGTGTTTTGTGTTTTGTTGCAATTATGAAAAAATTAAGATATTTTATACAAAGTTCTGTAACTTTTCGTATTGTTGTGTAAAATAAGCTATTTTGTTTAGGTTAAGAAATTCGCAAGCATTTCTCGACGGTTTTCCATATGCGAAAGCCGAAATCTCGATAAGAGACGTTACTATGGAGACACGCAACCACTGCCAGTTATGATTCCAGTCACCGACATTGATACCAACTTTGAACGTGACTTGAGTAAAGAAGAAGACATGATTCTGATGAAAGATCAGGATGACCTCTCGCTAGGTCATATTGTATTTAATGGCGCTTTGCTGAAGACTCATTCGATGGCTGGATGCTTTATGGCGGTCACACCTGATAAAGATGGCTATCTTAATATACCGGACAATTTGAAGGTAATATAACAAGGCTGAGTTAGGGTTTTCTTGCGAGAGCTTTCCTCTTTTGCATTTGAAATTTTTATCAAAGTGGCGGGAATACACGAAACCGTGATGTTCAACAGGCAAACAAACCAATACATAGTAAATTTTTTCCTCAAGGCGCCAACTTTACGAACTGTACCTATGAACTATGACTGACACATTATGTCACCATTCCTTCCTTTCTCCCGCCCTTTGTATATAGGCATCCATGCGAACTGTCTCTATGCTCACGCCGAATGCGAATAAACTCCTTGAAGTGCTCCTGCTGTGTCATGGATTTAGTGATGTTCAAAACCTGGCTGAAAAAATCTTGTTCTTCATTCATGTTATAAACGAGGTGCGGAGTATTTTGGTCACCTTATGAATTAGTAATTCATATATTAACTTTGATACAACTAATCCTAATTAGTATTCATAACTTTGTCACACACATGCCCTAATATGCATCAAGCTTAATCTATTCATTTCACGAGCACGTTATATGTATGGGATTTACAATCTTTGTAAAGACCCATACGCACTCACCATTGTAAATACCCATACAGATCGGCCACTCGTATTTTAACTAGTACATATAATGCAGCAGCAATATCTGATAAACAGATCTTCATATTCTCGCAACTGATATTTATGTTTGCATTCCTGGCCCCACTGATCAAAAGTAAATTACCTTCGCGATACCAGGTCCGCTATGTATGACTTTGTATTTGCAGATGAGACATCTCCCTCTCTTATCATGAAATCATGACACGTAATCTTAGACTATATTGAAAATTTTCCTTATTCTCTCCAGCTTCCGTCTGAGCAACAAATTGGACCAAGCATCTTGAAGGCTGCCATCGTGATGGCTGGAAATAAACTGCAACGTGATCACAATCTTACTGATAACTCAAGAAATAAAGACATGGAAGAACGGGAAGAAACCGCGGATCAACCCGGGCAGGATGAAATGAGAAGTAAGTTTCGTACAAAAAACAACCCTCTTCAATATCTGTCTCACGAATTGCGTTCAGACAAACCTTCATCATCATCATTGTTAATATTTCACAATTAATAAAAGGTAGGCTTGTTTTGGAGATGAAGGTATACTATTACAACTCCTTATTTGTAAAATGTGTATTGAGTAGCCCACAAGTAATTCTTCTATGTTGAGAAGTAATAAAAAAGCGCACAAAGCCCACGTGTTAAAATGTACTAATGTACACCAAAATATTCATTTTTCAAGGACTACCAGCCTATAGTTATGCAGGTCCTTGAATTTCAGGGGACCTCTTCCCAAGAAAACAAATAGTTTTTGGCCAAGGCCCACGCCCAAGAGGGTGCAATTTTGTTCAATTGCAATTTCCCACGCCATATCTAATAATAATTATTATATTTCTATTGATGTTAAGGCATTGCGTCTTCAGTATCACTTCTTGAAGAATTCGAAAACCGAACGAGAGAGGAAAGCGCGATAGTCTACGGTCTGTTTAGTGTGCTGTGTCCCAAGCTTGACGAAGAACGCGAGAACTTCGTGTGCGGTAAGATTGATGCGATATTCACTCACACTGTGCTAAGATCCGCGACGCAAACTGATGCGGAATGTGTTGCTGAAGCTGTGAGGGAACAACTTAGTGCTGAGTCACTGCATCCAAGCATGGATCTTGTTTCAAAGGCAAGTCTGTTGGCACAAAGTTACGAGATAGTATTGTTAGAAACTCGTGTGGGTTAGCCTACGTGCGAGTTAACATAAATTAGGGAGTAGGCTAGTGCGGGAATTGAATCCACTATTCCAAATTCACAATTTAGTCAACAATATTTGGCGCAGTTGATGTACATTTCTAAGTTGTTAATTATGCATTTCACGTCTAGACCCCCCCTTCCCTAATTCATTTGAAGTAAACTTTTTTGACCAGGGATCGGTTGTTCAAGAGCCGGTTAAACTTAATCCTGGGGTGAAACAAATCTTTGCATTAATTTTGTTTAATCGCTTGTTTACAAAATTGAATATCTTTTTATTAATATTTTCTGAACCGATAGAAATAATATTTTCTAAAGTTTTAAAACGAACAGTGCATGGTTCAGAAGCACATAAACACGATATTAACGACATATAGATACCACATTATATCGCATCGTCTGCCATTTCACTCATAATTTTCTTTTTCCCATTTCAGGTGATCCAGTTGTATCAAGTGTTACAAATCAATCACGCGGTAATCATACTGGGTTTGTCTGGCACTGGCAAAACAACAATCTACAAGACTTTGTGCAAAGCAATAAACAGTCTCAACACTCAATCTGCCTCCAGAGTTTCAGAGAAAGGGAAACACGCTGAAACTGAACAACCAAAATATCCAAAAATCAATCTCACAGTTCTGTTTCCGCGATCTATGAGTGAAAGTGAGGTAAATCGTCGTTATTTTGAAATTACTTCTCGAGTTGTTTCTGTTAGCTAGTCATATGTCAGTTAGCTTGATTGTTTGTCCTGGGTAGTTTTTTTAACGTTAAAACTATTATTCTAGCTAGTTACGGGTATATATCTTTCTAGTTGTTTGGAAGAATTGATCCTGTGACGAATTTCTGGTCGGATGGCATCGTCGTAAAATGTGCTCGAAATGCACTGGCTGTGAAAAATGCGTCAGAGATGTTGTCATCGAAGGCGACGCATTCAGCTGCAAGAAGTGATTATCACCAGTGGATCGTGTTGGACGGGCCGTTAGATCACGGTTGTGTTGATCAAATGAATTTACTGCTTGATGATAGTCGATCGCTGAGTCTGGCTAGCGGGGAGGTAGTGCCCCTTTCAGGTTAGAAGATTGTAACTGCTAAGTATACCACGCCTGGCCAACTAATGCAAACATGCCTGGCCAAACTAATGCAAATGTTGAGTCAAACGAGCTTGTGAATAAAGAAACTCGCTTGAATTTTCAAGAAAGTTTGTCTAAAAGAAGTCAAAACGTCTTCTTCTAAAAGTAGCACAAGCAGTGTTAGTTGTCTCTATAATATATTTTGGTATTTATCAGCTTTTCTTTAACCATCACGATCAATAGGAAACGAATTCCATTCTTTTTCTACCTATCTATATCTTTTTCGTTAAATATCCTTTAGAATCCATGAATTTCCTTCTCGAAGTCGACGACCTTCAAAATGCGGCGCCAACAATTGTCTCCCGATGTGGTATTGTGTATTGCCCTGATAACACTGTGGGTTGGAAGAGTGTATTTAAGTCGTGGATGAAGGAAGCACATGCAACATGGAACATTACCATTCGAGGGTAAGTAATGATCTCGACCTGCAGGAGGTAGTTCTTATTTCATTAAATTATCATTATGGAATGAAACACAAGATTTGTTGTGCATCATTTACACCCTCTTTTTTTGTTTACATGCACCTAACGTTCATATCCATATCATTCAGCAAATTTGAATGTACAATGAAATCGTCAACGAGTAATATTCGATCAAAGATCCTTTTGATGCAAAGAATTAACTATAATAATAACATAATTTATAAGACCCGGCCTTTGTTTCGTACTTTGAAACGTAGGACGATGTTGTTTGGTTTTAACTTCTGTCTATCAATAGAGATGACCTTGTATCTTCGCCGTTTAAAATCTATATCGTTCAAAATGTATTTCGTCATATTTTTTCCATATTTTTTCCATGTTTACAAAACCTCGGCCATATTATATCCATTTTGTTGTTTCAGTCTTGGTATAATTTCTTCCCTAATGGATCATTGTGTCGAAAAAACTCTTACGTTTCTCAGCGGCAACTGCACCCGGATTTTGTACGCAAACTTTAGCGATAACCAGATGTGTTTAAGCAGTGCACGGGGGATGCACGAGATCCAACGAATGCTTGTCATTCTTTCATCGCTTTTTGACAAATACATCTTGAGAGATAATGACGAGACACTTGACATTTTGGACCATCTGAAGAGTCAGCAAGATTCAAGATCATCGTCGTCAAGCGAGACATGCAGTGAAAGAAGTAGCAGCGTACCTGCGCATGATGCCAACACGGTTATCAGCAGTTTTGCGTATGCTTACATTTGGGCATTTGGTGGAGACCTGCATGAAAGGTACTAAAGCGAAGACTCTATAAGACAAATCTTGTATTCTATCAACCCTTTTGCTTGGTTGCTAACATGTACTTAGGATTGACCTGAACCTTCTTTCAGACAACCAATATCGTTACTGCATTTTATTACATATTTGCATAAATTTTTAAAAGAAGCAAAATAACTTGGTATAGTAAAAGCACTGTCCTTCTCATTATGTATAGTTGTATCGAAGCGTTTGACGAATTTACAAAAGCCTTGTTGTCCAGTGGACCTTATCCTCACAACGGCTTGCCACCAGTGACTGTCTTTGATTATCATCTCGACTTTCCCAACGGAACGTTGCTGTCTTCGACGGAAAAACTGAGCGGAAAACCTCGTGTTATTGCTTCATCATACGTTGTTATGCCGAGGGTAAATGGTTATACCTTGGACTATAATTATATACTATCCATCAAATTCCAAAACTGTGTATTTTCAAGATGTATTGTGTTTATACCGTCTTTCTAAAATGAATTTCAGGACGAGGTTTACCTTTCTTTACTGGATATCCTTCTATCTGCTAAAAAGTCCGTTCTTTTGGTTGGCCGTCCTGGATGTGGAAAATCATCATTTATGCAGGTTTGTTTTTTCCTATCTGTAGGCAGACGTAAATACTTTAAAATATCTTACCACGCCTGACCTCAGTATGTACTTTTAAGAACCCCACTTCACAACGTATCTTTATCTTAAATATAACTGTGTGCCTCACTTCATTATTTCACCCAAGACAGCATTCGAATAGCATGGCATAGGATTTGTAAAACGTTTAAAACTTTCCCCATTTCTTTCGTGTAGAACCTTGTGAATTCACGCTTTAAGTACCTCCGACTGTCCCTAGCTCATGGTACGAGCACGCAATTCTTGCAAGAAACAATCGAATCAAAAGTCAAGAGCACAACAAGGCGTCCATCAGTTGTTAACAATCTTGCTCTGAGTTCTCAAAACACTCGAAATGTCTTTTTCTTCGATGACATGAACATGGCTGCAACAGATGGAACAAGTAACCAGCCTTCCTCAGAGCTCATACGAAGTTTGATATCACTCGGTACGAAATTGAGATGTTAAAACGTGACGAAGGCCACCACTTTAGCTGCATTAAGAGTACAAAACAAAGAAATATAAGTTTGCTTGGTTGCCATTCGACTTAAAAAAAGAAGATGCAAATCGTAAATTTGCGTGTTGTTACATACTAAAGAGATCAAGCTAAATTCCATTTTTTCTATATGCGTTGGTTACAGTTGTTGCTAATTCATTTTAAACCTATCTAAGCTTCTAACTAGATGTCTGAGATTTGTTTCATTGTATTATGTCTATTCCAGGTGGCCTGTATCACAGACAGAGATTGTGCTTAAAACCGCTTGCCAACACCTGCCTCGTGGGTGCTGCAGTACCTCCGGGCTATCCTGGTGTAGGTGGCAGCGTGAGCACTTTCGCGATATCTCCACGACTCACACGAATAATGATTGCATTTTCATTCCATGCTTTATCTACTGCCACGCTTCAGTCCATTTATTGCAATTTGTTTCAAACATGGCTCGAGGATTTTCCTGCTTACTCGTTGACGCATCATCATCAGTTGGCAAAGGTAGGGAAGGATTATTATACCTATAACAATAGAACTTCAAATACGCACATTTTTCGACTATTCTTTGCTTCCTTTAATGCGGAAAGATTTGAAAAAGTGCTAAATCTACTCCCAAAATTTTGCCGTTGAAATATAGCGATTGTTTTTTAATGCGCAACGAATTTCTTTTGTAGGCAATGCGCGATGTACGAATATGCACCCCCCACTAGCAATAGCAATGGTAGTACCTGCACGTGTAAACACATGATAATTGACGTTAGACATTAGAGGGGACGTTTGCACGAGTTATCTGTGCAAAGAAAAGCTGCAACTGCACAATTAAATTATTATGAATATTTTCTTCTAATCTGTTGTATCTTGTTTCATTTAATCTTGAAAAAAAATCCGTCCTGACCAAGTTCCTCAGTTGGAAGAGCATTAGAAACCAAAGGTCGCGGTTTCGATTTCCACCGTGGTCAAGCTAATTTTTTAGCTTGTCCGGTTGGTAACTCACACCAACACAATGTTTATTTTATAACACCCAAGTCATAAGAATATAATCTTACCCATGATACTATCCTGCTCCTTAGGCCATATCCACTTCCACGATATCGCTATTCGAGAAAGTGTCTGAAGATCTTCGTCCAAGCCCGTTACATCCGCACTATATCTTCACTCAGCACGATGTGTCTCGAGTGTACCAGGGCATGATGCTTCTGTCTTCCAGAACAAAGACACGACCAAGGGTCAGGGCAAAGAAACAAACACCGATCATTGATGCGAAAGAAAAGGCCAGCAAAGAAATCGCTGATCTTCACGACTCAAGCTTTAGAGGTCTTGAAAAGAAAAGCGAACAAAACGGGAATAAGCTTCATGAAGTGGAAAGGTACGGTTTATGTGAAAATAAATGCTATTACCATCCCGATTTTCGAACTTGGATTAATTCATCTTAATTTAGTATACGAAACTAACCTGATTTTCAACCAATTTTTTATTCATAAAAAAGTTGTTGAAAATAAGGTTAGTTTCATTTGGAAAGTAAGTGGATGATATTCTCCTGCCTAAAATAGATTGACGTGCAACATTATTGTATTCATTTTCAACTTCAAAAAATCAGAATTATACTATAAGTATATACTAGGATATACTAGAATTAGGTGGCTATGGCATTTCCCATTCTGATTTGTCTTTTCTACAGCTGGCCAATGGTTAGAACGAATAGTACGTTGGTGTCGATTAATGCCGAGACCCCAGCTCTCACTACCCCGTTGATTCGAGTTATACTCCGCCTCTGGTGTCATGAATGCACGAGGGTATTTTCTGACAGGTTGATTGGCGAGGACCAGCTGTGGTTCTCGACGACTTTACGCATTGTTGCTCTGCAGCATTTCTGTGAGGGATCAGAAGATTCGCCTGAGGAAGGTGACGTATATTCATATGTTTGTACAATTTACTATTTCCCTTATTTTCCCCAAAACGCAAATATCCGCTAACCAATTACGTTGGCCGCTATTACTAAAAATATATAGATATCCCCGGTTAAAATGACCAATGGAGAAGTGTCCAACTTTTTTACTAAACACCATGTAGATAACTACACTAAACCCTGTAGGGAACAAGATAATAGAAATTTGCTTTTGTTTTTTTAGGTACGGACATTGTTGTATTTCAAAGGGTCACACCGAGAACACCGGAAGCAAGCCCTGCAATCCCATCGTCATCATCCCACAGCGGCGGAGATCATGACAAAGAACCTGTTGATGATACCATTCCACACGTTACAGATGAAGCAACTCAGGAGAATGTGACACCAACACCTGTGGATGGCGAGAGTTCTGATATTTCGCATGCACCTGTACTTCCAACGAGTGAAGATTTGAGAGACTGTAAAAGCGCCGAGTCTGTTCTTGATGTTTCTCAAACTAATGAGAGGAAAACTGAGAGTGAGTCCGCAGTAACTGATGAAAGTTCTAGCGATGAGTCTGACCTAATCCCTCAAGAGCCTAAGCCTCGGACTGCGTTAAGTAAACAAAGGGTCGTAACGTTTGAGGACATGAGCAGGCAACATTCTTATCGTGGCCCGTTGATTACATCAGATCAATTGATTGAGGCCGACGAAGATCTCACAAAAATAATCTTCTGTCGTCATTTTACCTCGTCGGTTAAGCCAGGTGCAGCAGAGCAGGAACGAGGATATGGCGAGGTGTCTGTTGCGATGTTGACTGAAGGTCTTAAACATGCTCAAGAGTTGTATAACCAACAGGATGTTTTGCCTCTGGATCTCGTCTTCTTTGAAAATGCCGTACGACATGCAGCAAGGCTTAGTCGAACACTTGTGAGTATTAATATTAGATCTTTCTTATAATGACGTCAAGCGTGGAATGGTCTGATGTTACACGAAGTTTGATTGGCTCGTCAGTATTGCGGAGCCAGTCCGACTTCGTGTACGTCAATGTGAAAAAAGACTATTGAAGCTTTTCTATTCAGGATTGGTCTTGTTTTGAATGAAAATATATTTTTGATACTGGAACTGCACATACTGTAGCTTTCAAGCATTTACTTGTTTATCCCGTTTAGTGTTTATCAAGTGGCAATGCGCTTTTGATGTCAAAATCAGGTCATGGACGAAAAGATCTTGTTTTACTGAGTTCATTTGCAGCCGGCTGTAAGGTAACATTATAGTTTACTTTTCATTGTTGAATATAATGTCGCGATGACATTATGTGCAGTGTTTGAACTCTTAGGTGTATGTTTCTCCTAATGTGAATGACTATATAGCTTTGTGCAATGCTCCGGTAATACAGTTCAAGCATTAGACATTTCCTGAAAGTTCTCTCTGATCGTTCGCTGAGGGCAAGCCTAAAACACAATTGTAATTCTATATTGAATATATTCAAAGCTGGTACAGTTGAGGGAAAACGATCACGAAGATTCGAGACAGCGAATGAAAAGTGCAGTTTTTGTTGCTGGACTTCAAGGCAAACAGGTTCTTGTTTACATACCGCAAAACATTGATCGTGACACATTGCAAGATGTCTGTTCATTGATGAGCGAAGGTATGATTAAATTCTAACATCAATAATGCTCTTTACTTTGCATACACTTAAAACTTCGCCTTTGTCCATAATAATTAGCCTAGCCTCTGACCTACCCGACAATATGCTGTGTTTGTGGATGTGTGGTGGCAGCCATTATAGTTCACTCAGTGAAAGAAAAGTTTATCAAGTCGAGTATCAAGTATCAACAAGTGTCAGACTATATGTTTGAGATTGCAAATTGGATTGTTCGTAAAGATCTGTTGTAAAGCGTGGTTAAGTAATGTGTGATTGTCTATTTGATAGGCAATTGTCCTGGACTCTATTCCACCAACGAGCTCGCCACAGTCTGCAATGAGTTAATACCTGGCAGTCTACGCGGGCGACGAAATGACAGCGTGTACGTCGCACAAGAGCGCTTCTTCCGCCGAGTGCGTACAAACCTCCATGTTATTGTAGGTTTGGAATTCCCCTCAGATGAACCTTGTATTGTGTATAACTCATCCTTCTCCACGTTTTCCGCGTTTCCTTTGTTGCTAACAAGAACGTGTTCAGTGGATGTTTTTCAACCATGGCACAGTGCTTCACTTACGAAAGTCTCCACTCTGAGATTAGCAAGTAAAGCTTTGGAGCCAGCTGTGCGAGAGATGGTGAAAGCCTGCGAGAGCTCATTGGCTGCGACGATGTCTTACGTTTATACTTCTGCTGTCGAAATGCTCGAACAACAGTTCGGTTTTAACAAGTACAAGTGTTACACGCCCAAAACGTTTGTTGAATTTAATGATATCTTTGTCAAATGCTGTAATCTTATCTGGAAAGAAGAACAGGTGAGCAGCGAACGCTTGTGTAAAAAGAGTTCCTTTTAATCATATATTAGTATATGCTGTAAACAACGGAACAACAACTCTCAACAATAAACGTAAATAACACTTTAAAGTATGCATAATATGATTTTGACCTTAGTAAATTTACTTAGGCACACTTTAACGCCGGCCTGTATTCTAAAAGCTCACTCACACTTAAACTCGTTGAGTAGGAGATCTTAATCTTCTCATAACGTTTCAATGGCGTTAGTTTCAATCTAATAAGAGCTTGGTTTTCAGTGTTCCACCTAAGATGTTTCTATTAACCAAAAAATAACTTTCTCTTTGATGAGTAATAACAAAATTTCTATGTCACACTCAATGAGTGTGAGTGAGCTTTTTGAATGCAGACGTAAGTATACTTTAAGTATGCCTAATATGATTTTGACCTTAATAAGATTAGATCGGAGCAAATTCTGACCAGATTCTGTTGAATGAAAAGCTAATTAAATATATATTCATTCAAATGTATCTAAATTTATAGTGGCAAAATGCCTTCACCTATCACGGAAACAATAATAATTATAATAATATAATGATTATATTTTATATATGATAGTACCCATGCAGCCTTTAAATAATGAAGTAGAATTACATTATAATGAAGTAAATTGTGCAATTTGACCATCGATTCATCTATATATTCCAGGATAAAATTGCAAGATGTGAAAAAGCGTTGGCAAAGATTGAAGAAACCAACAGACAAATCAGCGAAATGCAAAAAGACCTGGATAGTTTCATTCCAATCCTGAGAACTGCGGAGCAAGATGTTAAAGATTGCTTACAAATGGTGGAAGGTTTGCAAGCAGATTACGCCGAGGGAAGAGAAAAATGCAAACAACAAGAAATTGAAATTGAAAAAATGACCGCTCCAATTGCCGAGTTGGAAAGACTTGCCAAAATAGAGTTGGATAGAGTAAGAAACACTCATGCATTGTCAGAGTTTGCAGCTTGCTCAAAATTGTAATTCACTGAATTGAAACATACGATTTCTTTACGACCAATCTGGAAACGTTGCAAAAAGAGCTAGATCCTCCACCATGATTTCCCATTTATGTATATCAAATAATACTAGCTTTTTATTTATTTGTGTTTTAGGTTAGTCCCGTATTCCGGTCGGCATATGATGCACTCAGAGCTTTAAATGTCTACGACGTCGAAGAAATTCGCAGTTACAGAACACCACCAGAACTAGTTGTTCTTGTTGTCAATGCTGTATGTTTGCTGTTTGGAAAAGAAGAAACGTACGTTTTCCATGTTAATAAGTAGACAGATGGTCGTGTATGTGAAACTCTCCCCTTTCTACACGTGTAACTTTTCTGATTACTAGGGACAAAGTTAATCATTTTTAAGGCTTGTTTATACGATCCCACTTAGCCGGATTCAAATGAAGAATAAAAGGAAATGTCATTGAGGCAGGAACGTAGTTAAACCGATTATTGGGGGGGGATGCATATTTATATAATCATGTTTCCAAATCGTAGTAACAATATAGCTTTCAAAAGAAATCAGTCAGGCATGAGACGAATATGAATGTGCACACTCCTCCCCTCCCAATTAAGCTTCTAGCTGGGCTCTGTTTTACGTTAATTAAAATTAACAGTAGCATGAACCTGGCTGTCGTGTAGCTAGTCATCCCGACTTGGTTCTAGTAAGCTAGGGGGTTCTTCTCATAGCTTGTTAGGAAAATATGCAAGTTGTTCAATGGCCTCCATTTTTATGGAAAAGGTCTTCAACCCCTAATATACCCGTTGTGAAATGCTAGTTTTAAAATGAATAGCCGGATAATGTTTTATTTTTTTAAATTCTCATGCAGTTGGGAGGAAGGCAAGGTGCTATTCACCCGCGAAGATTTTATTAAAGACCTGGAGTTTTTCAACATGAAAGCGATCTCTGATAAGACCTTCCTGAGATTGAAAGAATACGTCCAGGATCCTCTGTTTGTTCCAGAGACAGTAAAAGAAGGTAGTCATGCCGCAATGTCAATTTGTGTATGGATACGAGCTGTGTACCGTTTCTGTGTTGTATATCGCGAGTATTTCCCCAAACAACAGCGAGTTATCGAGGCCAAAAAAATTTTAGACGAGGTTGGTTTGAAATTTGTTCCACGTTATCTTATTCTAATTGTTCTATAAATATCAAAACGTAATTGTAAAATTTCACCATATGAACAGAATAAAAGCAATCCAGCACAAGAGCAATTAAGCATTTGAAATTAACGACCAATTTTTTTATTGCAAACATTGATAATTATTTACAATGTGAAATATATCGAGTACCACCTCGCCTGTATCACATTTCTCTCTTACATATTTCGCAATGTGAATAAATATTTAATTCATACGAAAGATCGCTAATAATTTGAAACATGTTTACCAAAAAATTCCAATATTTCGTTTCTTTCAAATGCATATAGTTTTTATATTCACTGATTGGGTACATGCTTAAAAGATAGCTCTTTTAGAGTGTTTTAACTGGAAGAACTATAACTTGCATGTTTCTAGGCTGTTGCTTATCTTGGTGACTTGCGTGTACGTTGTAACGAAATCAAAGGGGAAGTTGAGTCAAAGATTCAAGAATATAAAGATAAAGTTCACCACGCAAGGTCAATTGAAAAACAGATCCAGGTAAACCCTTATCTAGTCATTATTTAAATAATCCGGTAAAGTACACGAGTAATAATAATAATAATTATAACCAAATATAAGCTGGTATAATCTATTTTGACTACCTCTAAATTCACTCCTGACTTTCCTATATATTGCACGATATAGTCTTTCTAATTCAATTAAGTGGCAAAATTTTGAGTAATTACAGTCAAATGTCACGCGCTCGATTCCAACCTGAGAAAGTATTTTCAGTTCAAGCGATGTAATTCCACGCTGATAATAAACTATTAATTAAATTAAAATAACTTCTTTGCTTATGTTGAAATAAAATTGATTTAGCTGCATTAATTTACGTGGTAGAAGAGGGTAGGAAAGGTTGTATATAGCAACATTTTAAATGGCATCATTTCAGGACATGCATAGGGAATTGTTTTACAATTTTTATTAAACCTCTTGGTCTTGTATACGACCATTATGTCACTGTGTTTTTTAATTTAGTCGTACTCTTTTTCACAGATAACCGAACAAAAGAAATTGCGTGCGGAGTTGTTAATCCGCAGCATGTCATCTCATGTTAACTCGTGGCAAGAGAAGCTCGATGTTTGTCAGTATCACATCAAAACCTTGATTGCTGACGCATTGTTGACCGCAGCCTGCATTTGTTACCTCGGACCAATGGATGAGGGTAGCCGAGAACATCTACTTCGCGAATGGAAGACCATTTGTGAAGGAAGAGTAGAGGAGGATGATGATGACAATGATAGCGAAGGCGATGATGTTATGTCTTTTGCAAGTCATTCTAAATCACATGTGGATATTAGATGCAAGTCCACAAGCCCAACCCTTCCTGCCGGAATTCAACCTCTTTCACGCAGAAGCAACTTTAATTTGAAAGACATTTTAAGCAGTAAAGAGGAACTTTATTCGTGGAGGTATTCAGGCTTGCCCGTCACTTCGAGAGCAGTGGACAACGCATTGATCATGCGTGCAGTGTGCGACATGGCCTCGAGACATTGGCCGCTTTTGGTTGATACAGATATGCAAAGTTATGCTTGGGTAAAATGTTTTGACGAAAACAAGGTTCCCGAAGGTGAGAATTATAGGGTTCTCCGTGTGAACTTCCCCTTGTGTATATTTTGCTTAAAAAACGACGTAGCTGTACCGGTATGGAGACGATTTAACTAATTTTTAAACTTAAACTAGGTGGAAATATTTCAACGGTCACGGAAACAAATGATGAGGTAGAAGAAAGTGATGTTTTAGAAGACGCGCAACTGTTATCACCTGTTTCTCCAGGTTTCACAACCCCTGGTCAATCTAATCGGGACAGTGATGAAGAATTCTCCACCAACTATGACGGTACAATCATACATTTATTTCTACCTGCGATAAGCTATTCCTCTTTGTTTACGCGTCATCGGTAGCGTAACCTATCATTTCATATTCGTGTATATGCATAAAATATTTTTATCAGCTTATGTACGGTTAACATTCTGTGTACCAAATTACGCAATATTAACATAAACATGGCGAGAGAGTGCCCTCCGAGGTTCTCTTCCATTCTGTGCTCTTTGGCCCTAAAAATCGAAATTTTTCTTGAATTATGCATCACGGGGGTCAGTTCAGTGATCAAGTCCCGGTCCTGACCGCTCAACCTTCTTGTTGTGGTCCAAGTGTTTTAAGATTTTGAAGTTTTTAATTCACATCAATTCTTACAGAAAGCGACTCTACGGTGCTAACCTCAAGTCAAAGCAACCGACGTGCTTCAGCTGGAGCGTGTTCAGGATTATTAATTCGAGAAGATTTGGCAAGGGAACTCAATATAATGGTAAATGACGAAATTTGTTTTTAACTCTATATCCTCCCCATTTTATTAGAACTTATTGAAGTAGAAATGAGAATACGTTAGTTGTATTTGCAATGCAAAACTATAAAAAGAGACTCCCGACTAAACATCCCTACTTAAAATCTAAACGATTTCGAAGGTTCTTCGACCAAACCTTCACTTTTTCTTCATTTTCACATCGTTGACGTACCGCTGTTATTTTTAAGACATCAACGCCAGATGACACGTCGTTAGAGTGCGCATCGATAGACTTCGAATTTGATGCAGATGAAATAATGATAATATCTGCCGTAGATAGGCATAGAGGTGAGTGATGTAAATAGTAATTGTTAGTGAGTTTTCAACTTCACTGTAAATTAATTTTACTGCGTGTCCATGCATGATTGAGTGACAATGAAAATTAACATCAACAATTCTTGCAATCATGATAACCCTTTCGACTCTTTGGATTTTTCAACCCCCTCGTGGGTATCTTCAATTCATTAAAGAGTGAAATGTTGTGGAATTTTGAAAATTGAAAATCCGTCGTTTCATTTCTTGTCGTTTGGTAGACATCAAAATCTGCAGAGCCGTGAGCATTGGAGCTACTGTGCTGTTGATAGACATCGAACGGCAGAAGCTCGGAACAAGCCTTCATAACTTGCTTGCAAGAAATACATTCACAGAGAAACATGGCAAACAAAAGATACAAATTGGCGGTCGTTGTGTGGATTATCATCCTGCCTTTCGACTCTACCTGTACACCAACATTCCGCTTGAATTAACCACTGAAGAAACGATTTCTTCTTTGTTTACAAAGTGTCTTGTTATCAACATGGCGTTATGTAGTGAGGGACTGCAGGAACACCTGCTGGCTGAAGTGCTCTCATTAGAGAGGCCAGAATACGATACCGAGAGTCGTGCATTGGAGGCAAATATCTATCATCACGAAGAACAAATCAAGATGGCAAAGGTGAGAGTTATGTTATAGGTCAGGTGAAACCTAACTGCACCGCGCTCGTGTACGATATATTTATTCCAAGTTCCAGTCATACGCACCACTTTTTGTTATATGCTGAGACCGAATGTGCCGAACCTGATGTTAATGAACTAAAGTCTTTGTTTAATTTCATTTGCATTCGATTCGGCGCATGAAAAGTTCTACGTCTGAAACGGGCGTCTAAGAAAATAGTGCAGTGGCAGCCAGCCTGAGAATTATTTAGTCATGCTATGCTAATATTTTCATGTTTATTGACTGTGAAGACAATGAATAACTTACGATTTGCATAGCGAGACTAAGTGGTAATACAGTTACAGTGATCTTTCCTTTGCTACGTCGCTGAAATATAGGATGCCGTTCTTGAAAGAGTGATAAACATGAAAGAACGACTTCTTGAGAGCAATGAAATATCCCAGGCTCTTAAACAATGTGATGAAGCGTGTAAAACAGCAAGGCAACAACTGGAAGAAACGAAGGTGGGAAATTAGGTTTGCATTGTACACTGGTGTTATAATTTTGGGTGATCGAAAATATTGCTAAAAGATTTTAAAACGAAAAAACAACACAACGGCAATAAACATTACGATAGTAATAAGAACAACAAAAACAACAAAACAATAACAACATAAATTTGCAGCAACAGTAATAGCAACAGCAACAATACCACCACCACTACCATCACCAACAACAACAATATTAAAAACATATAGAAAGGACGAAACAAAAGAGACAAAGTATTTTCTGTAAAGGTGAATATATAAATGAATGTTGAATTTCGTAACATTTGCTTTTTTCATTTACCAAGGCATTGCTAGAAATTTCAAAGGAGAAGCAAGAAGATTATGCGCACGTTTCTGAGCATGGTGCTGCTATTTTGCTAATCGTTTCCAGACTTTCCAGATTACACTCTTACTACCAGACACCATTTCACGTCTCATTGCGATTCATCCACGAGGTTGTTAATCAGAGAAAAAGAGGGAAACGTTCTTCTGGATCATCTTTAGCCCGATCAGCAGAATTGATAACATACGTAACAAGAGCTATGTGTTCAAAAATTGCCAAATCTGTTTTTTCAGGTAATTTATGGGTGATGGTACATATACCTCATATCTCTAGGTATTTTCATCCCCATATTTCAAAAAACCTTTGACAGCTAAAAAGGCCTCTGCTTTTGGTCTCTGAAGTTTACAGTGCCGAGTTTGATTTCCCCACATTCAGGCCAAATAGACATTCTAAATTGGTTAGGAAGGCAAAAAAGAATAAAAGTAAATTCTTACCATTTGTTTGAAATTATTGGTGTTCCAAACGGTTTGAAATTTGAACAGCTCTTCCGAATTCGTCAACAACAATAATTTGTTTCCACTTCAAACATTTCAGATCACTACGATGTATTCACCTTCATGATTGCTGGCGAAAAGATGCGCCTTGCAGGTCAAGTATCTGAAGAAGAAATGAGCCTATTTTACGACGTGAAGACTGGGAATGCTGCTGATGATGATCACTCCTCACAACTGTCAGTCGATGAAGATATTCCAGAGTGGATTGATTCCGAAGTATGGAAAGATGTCGTTTATCTAGATACACTGCCGGGATTTCAAGGATTAAAAGAAGCGATCTTAAATAACAGCGGTTTGTGGAAAGAGTATTTTGAGGTGAGCCGTTGGATTTTTTCTTCCTCGCAGTCGTCCGATCTTCGTATGCGATTTTTAAAGAAATCCCCCAATCCTCCTAGTTGCAGCAAAGGTTTTGTACACTCGTATAGTTAGTTTTTCTCATTAGTGATATCCAGATTTAAGTAATATAATATTATTTTTTTATATACATTTTTTTGTCTATGCGAAATTGTAGCTTCCAACCATATTAATGGCTCCGACGCCGAGTAATGTACATCAGTTATCAGTCTTCCAACGAGCTTTACTTTGGAAAACGTTTAAGAAAGAAAAAGTAAGCAGTTTATGTCCTATTTTTCTGATCGATAACTATAAAAATGTATAGTGAAGTAAAAACTAGACGTTTTGAGTCCACTACTTTTCTCTAAGGATAGTATTGATATGTATTTTTTATTTCACCATCTTGCAGTTGAACACGTTATGCGAAGATCTTGTTCTGTATCAACTTGGGACAAATGCTACAGCAGTAACGTCGTTTTCAATTGAGAACATATACCAGGGATCCTCGTGTATCACACCTATCGTCTTCTACCTGCCACAACCCATATACAAACAAGATTGGAGAAAACAAAATTTGAAGGGTCAGTAACTTTGAAAAGGACACGAGTTTTCCATTTAGATACGCACTATCGGAACATGTGGATGAGGTTGGGTTGCATGTCCTGCATTATTGAATTATAAAGTTGTAAAATGTTTTTTTGGTACCGTGTTTTGGTTTACTGCGCTATATTTAATAGTATATCTATCTTTATCTTTATATATAATCTATCTTTCAATTTTTACTGTTCTTTTATATTACACAACCATGTAAATGTATAAAACCGTTCCGGTAAAGCCGCAGCAAATCCCATGCTTTTTTATAGACATTCCTGTACATTCTTGTATTTTGACACATTGCTATTCCCCTTCAGATCCCGTAGATGAAGTAATAGCTCTTGCAAAACGTCTCGGGATAGATGATAACTTGCATGTAATCAGTCTCTCTGAAAGCCATCAGACTTCTGCGGCATCAGACATTCTCCGTACTGCTTGTCAACGTGGCTCTTGGGTGATAATCATGAACTGCCATCTTACTCCAATGTGGCCTCCAGAACTGATTGATATTTTTCACGTAAGTGAATGACACGTTTCGTAAAGGAAATCAAGGTGAAGAGAGTCGAAAGAACATGTTGTGAAATTTTGCTAAAGTGCATGGTGCATGTTAAGAACAGTGCACCTTGTGCACGGTCAGGGCAGTATATTTTGTCTTTCAAGGAAAGGTATTTCCCGGGCCCAATCTTTGACTCCGTGACGTATAGTTGTAATTTGAAATGCTAAGCTAAAAAATTTATATTAAAGTTAATCCCCGAGCCGGTGCGAAGCACCGGGCGAGGGTACTAATTCCGCCCGGAGATTTTAATTACGCCCGGGAATGCAAGTGCGAAATGAAAGTTATCCGCCATTATGTCATGGACGTTGGGCGTTTTTGTAAGTTATGCGCATGCGTGAGTTAAGACGAGTTAAAACTGGTAACTAGCAAACGTTTACAAACGTGCGATTGGCTAAATTAAAATTTGGATCACGTCAGCATAACTGATATTTAATTTTGAATTATAAAACTTTTTTTAAGTAATATTTTTCATTTGGATGGTCTTAAAAATATACGAAAAATTGACACGTAAAATTGATTAAAATATAATGTAAAAGATGCCTTCGGATAGAAAAACTTTCATTCAAATGGATAATAAAAAAATCTACGATTTGAAGCATTTTTGGAGTGCTGTTGAACAGGTATGCAAGTATTTTGTGAGTTTAATATGTGGATTTATCAACAAATGTATGACACCTCTTTGAATTTATTCGTCAATTTCGTTGAAATGATTTTGATTTGGAAAGTATTTATTTTTAAAGGTGAATCTGTTTAAGAAGTAATTGAAATTTCGCTAAAAAATTGTAGTATTTATAGAGATTACTTCATGGTTGGAGAGTGCGTACGATTTTTATGCACGAGTTGTGAAGGATCGCAATACGAACGAGTGAGCGTAGCGAACGAGTGAGTTTGCGATCCTTCGCAACGAGTGCATAATAAAAATCGTACAAACGAGCCAACCATGAAGTAATTTGTTTATTAAATGTGTGTATATAGAGATCAATTTGACAACGACACGCTTTTAATATACAAAAACACAGCGAACAACAAAATCGAAACTTTGTGCATGAAAACATATTTATTACCGTTCAGTTTCTTTGTAATTTTGTTCAATAGAAGTTAGACATTCTTTCCGAAAGATTTGAGATGTGCTGAATGTAAAAATATCTTGAATATGAGCATTATGTTTTGAATCTCACTCTTATATTTCGACGCCATCTTGAAAGAAAATGTAAACAAAATGACCTACGACAATTTTTCACGTGTGAAGAATATCGTACGTCCAATCAAAAGCCGTGTATGGCATTTTTTCACACGTGAAAAATATCGTACGTCCAATCAAATTGCATGAAATTTATTTACACAGTGAAATACGATTTTTATTTCATCATTCTGCTGTGCATAAATCTCTATACACATATAATAAAAAACTATTCGTAGCACAATTTTTCAAAATTATATGATTATAGTCGAATTTAATAGCTCGAGAGTCGACTTTGTAATTGTACCTAGAAATAGGATTTTATTTTACGACTTCGTCCACTCAGCAGAAACGAGTATTATAGCATTTCACTTCAGTGATGGAAATATATGTTTATTGCTTAAGGCGAGGGGACTTTGCATGCAATGTATTTCTAGTATAGAACAAATAAAAGAATTTATTTTATAATACCACTTTGTTTATGTTCCTTCATTTTAGCAAATAACGTTGAATGGAAGCAAGGAGCACATTACAAGTAAACATGGTTTATTCGAACCAGAAACGACTCCATATACAGTGACCTCGTGTGTTTTCGAGCAATCACTTATTATGCATCCACAATTCCGCCTTTGGTTTGTCACGGTGCCAGAGACTAGAATACCACTCCCCCCGGTTATCGTACGTTATGGTATCAAACTTGCCTGGGATGAGAAACAGCAGTTTGGGGCGAATGCTCGTCAAGCATTTCTTACCATGTGGAACAAACATACGCGTTTGGACAAGCCTTTTAAAGAACTACAAGCTGTTGATGTTCAGGTGGGATTTTTAAAACCCACAGGCTAGGGAAAAATCTATAGTGCCTATTTATAGGATAGTTTGCCGTGGCGGAGTGCTTCGCTCGCTCCTAGCTTAAGCATCCACACAAAGTTTTTAGAGTGCATTATCACACCACAAAAACACTCGATCAGTTCCTTTTTGTCTCTCTTATAAAAAGAACTTTTAAAGCAACTAGCAGGAATCTTGAAGAAGGAATCAATGGTTCAATATATTGTACGATAATTAATTATTTTAGTTTAGTTCAGTAATCAGCGTTCGTTTAATTTTATTTCACAGGAAGATCCAATTTCAAAGTATTTGGCGCCCTTGGCAGTATTTCACTCCATTTTGCACGAGCGTTGTAAATATGGGTCTCACGGTTTTAATGTGCCATATCGTTGGTAAGTGTAAGACGTGCCCGCTTTAATGTGGCCATTCTGGCAAAGTTAAATGCATGCATGACTCTAGATTTCTAGTGCGCTTTCCATTTAATGGCAAAAAATTGTCTTCGCATTAAGAGAGTACCTGATCCTTGTTACAAATATAATGTTTACGCCTAATAAGTGTGTTTAAAGCCGAAACGTTTTGTTTTTTGTGTATAAGAATTTGAACGATACTACTTTTTGATGACAGGACTGATCATGATCTACTCTTGGGATATCTTGCGACGTGTTTGTTGAACTCGAGCTTATTCTGTGCGTGTACTGATGCTACAACATGTCAAAAGTCAGTCTTGATGCAGAACGTCAGTGCCTTATATGGTGGTCAAGTACTTGACATGTTTGACTGCGAGTCCATCATCGCTTTGGCTGAGGCACATTGTGCACTACCAAGTGAAGTACGTCATATAATAATGCTGTAGCTACATAATCAAATCAATACACTATCAAAGGTTTTTTATCACTCGTGGAATGTTACATAAGGAACACCAGGGGTTAGTGTAGGATGAAATGCCGAATTGAAATTTTCCTAAAGCATTTTTGGCAAACGCTGTATGCAAAATTTGACATGCAGGTAGGCAGTGATCAGTGTGAACAGTGATAAACTTTGATAACGAAAACTATCCTTCAGATTGAAGATTATTAAGTGTAACAGGTTGCACACGTCTCATATTTACATTAAGTTGCACCCGTCTAACTTGCAGGATTGTTTTAAATACAAAACATGGCAAATTGCACAGAAAAATGCGCATATATTTATGCGGGTAAAGCCTGGTTCACACTTGTCCTAAGAATCTTTTTAATAAATGATTTTAACCTTTTAAATAAGAGTTTTTTAAATTGTAATATATTTCGTTTCAGACAACGACATTTAACCAGTTTGAAACTTTGTTCAGTTCTTCGCCCATTACAGTTGATATGAAAGACATTGGACTTAACGAATCCGTAAAAGTGAAGCACGGTATCCATCTTAGCAAGTAAGTGAAAATCGCTCTGTCAATATATGCACGTTTTTAACTTTATCTTGTTCTGTGGAATAGAGCAACTCTATTTCAATCTAATTATTTAATATGGAATGCAACTTTTAGGAGGTTGGAAACTGATACATTTTCTAGAAGACGATTTGGTGTTTTTATAAGTTATTCCACATTTGTAAAAGGTGCTTTTGTTTTCTAGGCAACTTGCTGCAAACATTTCTGTTGGATTTGGAAACAGAACCAGTTCAACACCTCCGCTTAAACATATTCCTCATTTTAAAGAAATGCTGTCCGTATTTAAAGAGATAAAATCCGAAATACCTGTGGATGGAGACATTGCTGATGGAACTGTTGTTGAATCTTCTTTCCAGATATATTTGAAGGAAGAAGCTGATGATTATGCGGCATTGCTTGATTCGATCATATCGCAGCTAGACAAAGTAATCTTAGGGCTTCAAGGCGACATCAGTTTTACATCCAGCATGCGTGAACTGACCAAAGTGCTATCCAAAGGCAAGGTGCCGCAGTGTTGGTCCCTCCATTCAAACATATCTCTTGCCCTCGCGACCTGGATTTGTCGTTTGAAGGAGAGAATTAAAGCCATTAGCAAGTACAAGCGTTGTGAGGTTAATACATCTTTGACACTTGATATTGGTGCGTTCCTTAATAAAAATTCACTTTTCCATGCCTTACTATCTGACTGGTCAAGAACAAGTGGAATACCTCTGCATAAGATGGGAATTACTTTGAAGGTTTGTGTTCTGTCTATAGATAATTTTACTGGCGTTATTAAATGTATTGTTAATTTCAATCTTTGTATTTATCTTGTTGAAAAGTTGGGCAGCTTGTGGGTTGTTTACAAATTACTGCAAATAACTGCATACCCATAAATTTGACAGTAGACTGTGTGAATCAAATATCGCTGTTATAATTACTCACTTGCACTACTCGTACGGACTTGTGTTAAACCCGGTTCCTTTCAAAATGGGTTTTATAGTAACACCAATTTGGGGTGCTAAAATGCAGGTTAATCAAAGGAAAGGATATGATACTTATGCATGACTAATGCTTATGCATGACTAATACTTATGCATGACTAATTCAAATTCCTATTGATCTTGTTTTTGTGCTTTTTTAAACAGTTGGTACAAGACTGTCCTGCAGAAAGTGTAGCAGCAACGGATGGCGTTCGCATTGCAGGGTTTTGTCTTCAAAATGCATCGTGGAACGAGAAGAAAGAGTGCCTGGAAGAACACCAAACGTCCGGTAAAAACCAAAGAATACCAACCCTCTTTGTAATGCCTGGTGAAACAAATCAAGCTCCCTATGACACAAGGGGAAGTGACAATCAACCGTATAAATTTTGTTGTCCAATATACTTGAATGAATATCTACCCAGTAGATTTCAACCAGTTATTCCTCCACCACGCGTTACTCTTTCTTCCAGTTTACCTGCTCATGTTTGCCGACAACGGCAGGTCTTTTTAACTAGTTCAAGTATTTAAGAATCTTGTTAACATATCTCTTGTGAATGTTGTAACTAAGAAAAAACATTAATATATTGTTGACATTGTGTACATTAAAGTATTTATTTAAGATATCGTAAGAGCAGGATTTTTGTTATAAAATGATTTTGTTACAAAATTGTATTTAATTTGGTGTGATATGTTCTTGCGTTAACACGACAGGTTTTTGGAAAGATTTGTAGCAAGTTAATTGTTACAAGAGTCTAAGACTTGTAGCCCTGTATCACTGTAATCATAGCGCGATTGCAAATTCGCAAGTCGTCTGCGTAGCTACAATGCTGAATTTCAGATTTTCAGTTAATTCAGGTTGTTTTCATAAATATAGCGGCTATATTGTTGACAAAATTCCATTCCATAACTTCAACATCCAGGTAATTTGAAATGGCTGGAAAGGACTAGGACTAGTTGTCAAATCCATTTCTCGGTTGAAACAACATAATTCCTCTTTTATTTCGGTTTTAGAGCCATAGTTCTTTTAACTATATTCTAAACATAATACCTTATCACGTACGTATCAATTCAAATAAATTATCTTTGCGCTATGCTCTAAAAATTTTTAAAAAACCCTTTTGACATCCGGAATTATTTTCATTTAACAATGATGGTAATCAATGGAAGTTAGAGTATCGGAAGGGAAAAGATTTATTTAACATCCATTTGATCGATTTTTTGGTCTGTTAGTTGTATGCATATTTGGATGGTATAGGGGACATGGTTGTAAATTTACCGTGGAGTGTTTGTATATTTAATATATGAATAATTACTCGGGGCTACCGTCGGTAGACCGAGTTGTAAAATGGGCTCAGTTTTTTCTTTTGCGTCGCGAGTTTACAAAAATCACGCGTGGGCGTGATTACAAGCTCAAACGAGATAACTGTACCCCGTGTGAACGCCTGAGCAGGCGTCTTGTTCCCTATATAATAGGATTCATTTGATAATTTTAACCTATTAGGCATTTGAATGTCAATTGCAACACAGGATGTACGCGATTTGATCTCATATTCCTTTATCGTGTCACAAAGTTCAGTTGCTGAGCTTTGTCCTCGCAGAAAATGAGACGTTCTTGTCTCCTTTTGGCGTATGTTAAACAACGATTTCACATGCACATTTTCATACTGCATTGTGCAGGCACGGGCTGCACATTCCTCTTTGAACATTTTTGTTAGAACATATAAATCTTTATACGTCTCACCCAGTAAGAAACAATAGCATGCATTCCTGTTCTCCAGGGTCAATTAGAGCTCTTGAATTTGATGACCTAAGCGAGGGAGGCTCGAAGCATTGAATTATGCAAGTACCAGCGACCGCGAGCATCAATTTGGGTTAAGATGTCCTGTTGAAAATCGTAGTATCCCAAAGAATTTGGTTGAATTACCGAAAAGAAATTGTTGAAAGCCGGAAAGAAGCGAGCTCTTTATGATCAGCTAAGAGAACACTGTTTTGCTTTTGAAAGCTACGATCTTAACTGGTAATTAAAAGCAGTAAAACTAAAATGTATTTCGCCTCAAATTGCTGATGCATTTGTACCATAATTCTTATAGACCAATGTTCCTCGCTTTTTACTGCTAAACTTCTTATTACTGGTTCAGCTTTGTTAACATAGGTTTTGTATGACTCAAATTTTAAATTCTGTATTATTCTAGAACAAATTTCTGGACGAAAAGCGCAAAACTTCAGCAGAAGTACCGTCAAAACCACGCATGTAAGGTTTGTTCAAGCGAAAAAAATTATAGCGCTCTCTGTGGCCGTGTATACAACTATCAATACTAAGCACATATAGACGTTTCTTTTGTCGTTTAACCGTTTGCAAAATTTTGGCAAACTGGTAATAAGTTTCCGACTTTGTATTACAATAGGTGTAAATTGGGACGAAAGCCCTGTTCATTTCTCTGGTCACGGTATTGTGTACTTGTATATTATGTAGTTGTTTGTTCTGTTTAAAATGTTACGAATTATTAGAAGAAAAATAGTTGAAGTTTGGGCCGCTTATATACACTTGTGACTTGCCGCTTGGCCACACGCTGCGTGCACTTTGGGTCAAGGATTTTTTTTATTAAAATCTTTGCCGGAGTAAGTGGAGTAACTGGAGTTCGCACGGTCTGAATTATGGACGTACTGATGAGCGACGAGACAATTAAAATAATGCAGATATTCGCAATTGGCTCATGCGTCGATTTGCTTCAAAGCCTCGCAAAATAAACGCGTCGGTAAATTGAAAGAAAACGCGCTGACACATGCCACTTGAACACTTAAACAAATCGTAATTCTGCGGTGACAAAAGATTGTATTAACGTCAGAATTAAAATTCGTTGGGAGTATGCCACACGTTGACATAAATACTCCAGAACAACATTTTGTGTCTAAAATGTCCTATAAGGTTGGATGGGAATCATAGGTACATAGTAGTCTCGTTTGTGGAGGATCATCAGGGTGCCATATACCATAGGATAGGTTCGGTCGGGGCATGACTATAAGAATCCCACATCAGTTCTGGGTTTATCTGACATCACAGGACGTACATCGCGCTTGCGATGTACTGTCCCGTCTCAACGTCGCAACTTCAAAATGGCGATTAAGATTGTTGCTGTATTTCGGGGGCCCTTAATAGGATTTCGGAACTCCGGCAACTAGGATTTCGGGACTCGAGCTATTTCGACTTTGGCATTTTCGGCTTTTTCGACTTCGGCTGGAGGGTTTTTCCTCCGGTTGCTCCGGTTTCCTTCCTTAAAAAAACAGTGTCAAGGTTTAGGGCCAAGTTCAGATACCAAGTAAGTCGTTTTTTTGAAGTCGTTAATGTTTTGCGTGCCTCTAGATCAGAGGCGATGTATTCAACTCATGTCCTTAAAGTCGAATGTTGCATTTTTAATTTTAATTAGATATGTAAAAGGTTGCAGGAGGAACGGGGTATTTACTTGAAAAACGCTGCGTCATATGCATGGATGCTGGAATTTAGGTCAAGATAAATCAGTCGCAAACTATAGCTGATAAATATTTTGCAAATAATTCTGAAATCCACAGGCCTCTGGGTTCAACTGCCCTGAACACTGAGTGATTAATCACTCGGGCAAAACCAAGAGTTATACGGACGAAATAACTTACATTTGAGCGAAACAACTTAGTTTAGCATCTAGATCACCGCGGAGACAGCTTTTTTTACCGTCTTCTCCGCGATCGTGTCTAATAATTAGTTTCATTCGATTCAGTTAAAATCTGACAATCGAGCTTGGAATAAACGTGAATGATTGTAAAGGAACGCAACAATTGCCTACCCGGATTGTTCATTGTACAGTACACTTATGGCACGAATTCAACTTCGGTGCAGGAAATTTAATTTCTATATACCAACACAGAACGTACAATAATTGGAGAGTTGATCCTATATGACTATAGCAACGAGGCGGAAAAGGTAAATTCAATTTCTGCCTTTCATCATTTACGCATGCATATCTTCGTCGTGATATAGAATGCAACTTATCAAATTCATGCTAGAAATGTTAGATGCTTCCTTAAATGTCTCTAGTTATTTGAAATAGCGAATCTTATTGCTTCTTTGGTTTTCATCAATGTAAATAATTGTTAACAATATGGGAAATAATAAAAGGACTTTCAGGACTTTTAAAATACTAAAGAGACGAATCCAGGGAAGACACCAACCAAAGGGGGTTGTCACATGGTAAAGACTAAAGTTCACGAAAGAGGCGCGCCAGGCGCTACCAACAGAAACAACAATTTGTTCCTAAAGACGGGGGACTGCTGTATATGCTATACGTTTTAGTCCTAAGTAAGTGTACGTCCACCCTGAAGCTCGCCTGATGTTTTGCTATGGTCTTCTACAAAGCTCCAAAGCAAGAGACTTTTTAATGCTCAAAATGATAGCATGCTTCGAATCTTGGTGACAGGGGTCATGCATGTAAACAGCCTTTTTTAGCGAATAATAAATTAGTGAAGATGTGAAGTTTTCAACAATTTATTTCGTTCTTAAAGAACATATATACATACAGATGATCACAAATTTTTCGATATCAAAATTTCGCTAGCATGATTGACAAAGAAACGTATAATATTAGATTTCCATTCAAATGAAATAACTGCATGGTGCATAATGACTGAACGATCTATTTGCAAAGTTAACTGCATATACATATAGAGCTTATATTCCTGTTGGGTTGGGTAAAATAACCAGTAAAAAGGGCAATGAATTTGAACGGGTCATAATAATATATATATAGTCTGCTGTCTCTATACTGGCATACCATGCACTCACGGTTGGATTGCATAGCTTTCCCTACCGTACAATTTGTAAACCTATTATAAAGTCAAAAATGGGTTAAAATTTATCAGTGGCTGTATATTTCCTACTAACCGTATTAGTACTGAAGTAGGCCTTACATGTATGCATGGCTAAGTGTACTCTAGCTAACTCGTTATGATTGGTTTTTCTCCCTATACAAAATCCCTACGAATCTAAACTTTTTTTTCATATTATCGATAATACCTGGATTTTTTTATTACTGGTATCCTTGTATTAATTAATATCGTCATGTCCAAAAGAGTATGTAAATATAAATGAGTAAAAAAAATCTTCACTAAATCATGCTTCCTCTATAGTTCAAGGAAATTCTCGGTGAAAGGCATTCGAATACTGATGAAACCTTGATTTCCAAAAGTCTACTGAGATTCAAACGGGTGTTCACTTGCTACCATTTCCGTTCTTCGTCGAATTATTATTCTTGTCATTTCTATTTTTCGCGTCGTTTGTCTTCGATGCCCTCGGCTTAATGTTCATGAACTGTCTTCTTGGTGCCTTCTGCCTGGAATGATCGGTGCGAGTCCAGCGTTCGTATCGAGCGACGACCGTCGTATTATGTCTAAGTTTATGGCTCGAGACTCCCTTCGGAATCAGTTTATTCCACGGGCTGTAGAAGAACCAATAGATGCCGTTAATGGGATCTTCTTCGATCCCATCGATTGTCGTGATTTCCGCGCCGATATCTGGATAGGTTCTGTACTTGAACGAGTGCCGTTCGCTATTCTCCTGAGCGATCTGAACGAGGTTGAATACGGTGCACGACTCCGGGATGTTCAATGATAATGCAGATGGTGGAGTACGACCCAAGTCGACACCGTACTCAACGCGAAATGTAACTCCTATGTTCGCCATCAATCTCGTGATATTTTTCAGCAATCCTCTGCAGTTGTTTGTTACTCGACTGGTTGTTCACAAATTCTAAAAACAAGCACAAGATACACAGGTATATAAATGTCGTGCGCTTTTAGTGACGCGTTCTTGGGTTTGAAGTGTTCCAAGCATCGCATATACGTTAATAAAAGATTTAGAAACACAATCTTCCACTTATGTGTCTTTAGACTAAGACTCGATTACTAATAGACTTTATGCATGATGACGTCATGTGTGCTTCCAGAATCTATGAATTGCGAAAAGATTGTATACAATTTGCAAATAATTATACCAGAACCACTCCCACTGAGTATTTTAAAACAAAAAAGTAAATCCAAACAATATTTTCTACGTAATTACGTTACGTATTTAGTCTACGTTTCGACGTGGTTTCGATTAACTTGAAGTCAACATCAGAATAGATTGAATCTATATATCGCTTTCGTGAATTCGAGAATTATAATTCGAGAATTGTATATATGATAGAAGTTACGTTTAAATTATTATATTAGTAATATGATTGTATCATGCAGGACCCCACTGAAAAACACTATAAGGTGATGTGGGTATCCTGGTTAAATATAATAATAATAATAGTCACGGAAATTGTTTGCGTGACGTCTTATTATAATGCGTAAGGAGTTATTTGCTGATAAGCTCACAGGTTTGCATAGATTGCTTTAAAGAAATCGCTAAGCCGTAAACTTAAAATTATGTGATAAGGTAAATAGCAAAATCTAAAATAATCAACATAAAGGACGTTCGATCGAAAGTTGCCGCAATTGAAGGGTGGTAAACGTCTACTATTTTTAGGACAAGTGTAGTAAAAAGTTTGTGCCTTAAAGCGTTTTCTACAGAGCGGTGATTTTTTACACAGTTTTTTTACACAGACAAACGGTGTACCATCATAGTGATATTCACATATGGAAAAAAGCAGTATGAGCGGTATAACTGAAGTCAGCCGAATTATACACACCGTATTTTTCGGCAGAGTTTATAAAAATCGTCATTGAATTATGCGACTCAAACATGCATGTAAAATCCCAGTCCAACGTCAGGTAAATTATGATCAACTTCATTAAAAGACAATGCCGTTGATGTAGAATATGATCTTGAGGCATTCTCAGGGGCGTAACGGCGGTTTTCAGGGTGTCGAGTGACGGGAGGCCCCTGGATTCACTGGGGATTAAATTACGAAAAACAGAAAGATACGCAGCTGCGTTGGCTACTCTTTGCCTAGTGACTTATCAATGTTGTTTTGTAATTATTAACACGTAAAGTTTTCAGCATGTAATTCCTTCGTATTTGTAACGAATTTGATATATCATCAATAAAATACAAACCTTTGTTTCGAGGATCAAAATCTTAACATTGAAACAGAGCTCATTCGGTAACAAAATATGCCTGAAAGATTGCGGGTTGCTGATATTTAATCTACCCTATCATTTTAGGAGCAAATCCCGCAAGCGCATGCATATGTAGCGCAGGATTGCAAAATATAGGCTACCTAGGCTGAAGCCTAGGTAGACAGGCCGTGATTTCTGAAGTTATAATATGTTTTTCGGGCTTGCTATTTTGATGCTAAACAGTTTACGCAAAGAGAAAATGAGAGCTGGTATCTAATCCAAGCCATTGATTCACTTTCATGCTAGTTTCTTTACTCCTTGATATTACATTTCAAATTATTTTAATGACGAGAATTTACATATAGTAGACCTAGACCAAGCCGGAAATTATTTCCAAAACTTTAGAAATAGAAATATATTTAGAACGCTGCATACATAGCGAAAATTTTTAAGAATAATTGCGTTTTTCTTTTGCTTCTATGTGTCTAAAGGCGACAAGTGTTAATTGCAATTAATAAACCCTCAAAATTCTTGACAATGAATCTCGACTTATCTCATTGAGGTATTTCATGAACGAGCTAAAATATCCGGCGTTTTTGCCTATCGAAAGGGAGTGAGAAGATGGGGGTATGCTTATAGCTACATGCATGCATGCAATCGGGCGCTTAAATTATAAAGTTTATAGATGAGATTTTACAATAAGATAGCTTTGTTGATTTAGCTTTATATGTAGTACACCGGGTCGTGAAATATATAAGAACAGCGGTAGAAATTGTCTCACTCTGGTAGACTAAGGTTATGAAAGAACCAATTCACCTAAAGACATTTATTCATATTGGTATTCCGATGGGAATTAATTTTCACCAGCTTGAGATGCAAGTAATATATTCTTATATAAATCTTGATTATTCCCTCCTCTTCAACAACTTCAAACCACATATATATATCCGATCCTGCACATGAAAGACAATATAATTTTTCGCTTACCACTTTAATTGCACCTCTCGATTTGGCTCAATTTCATTCAGAGAATTTGTATACAGTTTAAGGCTGTGCTCACTTGTAGCGAGGATATATAGAAGTCATGCAAACGAGTTAGCACAGATATGTCATTGTCCAGTCCAAATATACGACGTCAAGTAATAGAATTTATGCGGGAAGGAGGTGACATTGAGTACTCGTCATAGTTCAAAATGCCCTACAGCAAAAATTTTTCACTTGAAGTAAATTCCATCCACTTATACATGCTAATTGTTTAGATCCTCAACAGAGAGCTCTTTGTGCCAAGGTTAAAGTGATGTTATATAAATAAATATAAATATATATATATATATATATATATATAATATAATATATATTATATATATATATATATATATTGAAAGATGAATTTGTATGCACTCGTAAAGAAATATCCTTAATCGAAATATTGCGCTGGTTTGTCCTTTATGTGTGGACTTATACTGAATAATTTGAATTCTTGTGGCCGCGCTTTTTATCACTCGGGATGTATTATATAAGACCTTAACATGCAATGTGAGACAAAATATCAGTTTACTGCAAAGATATATATTACATCTTTATATTGTACAAAGGCCCGTTCGCCATATGTTGTACAGTTGTACTTTTGCAGTAGGTGACTTAATACGACGCTACTAATAGTCTGGTATGTTGTTACCTGTCACCCTACACTAAATATAGGTGACTTGTACTATGACGAGATTTAAAAGCCTTCAGTTGGTATACTCGGTATACGTTATTCAGCTTAAGTCGTATCAAATTGTGATTTATATTTTAAAATAAAGCAACCAGTTTCAGAAAACGCTAGTTTATGACAGTCTCGTCTGGTATTCGAAGATGTCTTGAATACAATTATACTCTTATATACATGAGCATGGAACACGGTGCTTTGTTGTTTACAATTGATGCAAAATTGCACGTAAAATATAATTCAATAATACTAATGTAGTTATAATCCAATAATAATCTTCTCGAATGATGTTTTTGTCTTTTTAGCACAGCATTAATACTAATCGGTTCTGTGATATATTAACGCTTCTCGAATGAGAATAAATATACGTGTTTGCATATATATATAACAACAATGACCCAAACAGCGTAACCCAAGATTTCGTGACCGTTCAATGGTGTTCTTGTTAGTGATCCACCATATATCATGCATGATATTACAAAAGGAATAACAAAGATTACATGCACTGAGTGAGTTGTAAGCATAATTTTAAAACGCATGATTCAGATATTTTCTCGGATTTGGCGCACCCGAAATGAGAGAGCTCTCTTGTACATTTCTAAGCCGTCTGCATGCCAGAGATTTCACGGTGGACTTAAGGGAAAGCTTTCTACCGAAATGTACACTTTTGTATCCACGATACACGAAAAAATTTACCCCGGATACTCTTCGAATTCACCCTTAATTCGTATCTCTTACATGTATAACTTATCGGGTCAAGTTAGTTTGCGCATCGTTGATATTTTTATGTTGATGTCTGGTTTTCTTAGTATATATGCTTGTTACTATATACTATACTATTTAAACCCTATTTGAAAGGATCCAAAGAAATTTCTTCATTTGTCTTCATGAAACTCAAAAAGAACCACATAGCTACTTAGCTACTTTCCTATAATGTACGAGAGATGATCTCTTGGTGGAGAATTTGGATTTAGAGACATACCACTGTTCACATGTCTTTACATGTTCCAGCTTCACGCTATCGGGTGCTATGTCGAGGTTTACGTCTACTCTTACGTTTATTTCTAATATATAATAGGTAATGTTTTTATTATGCTTATAGCGCTGTTTTGTGGCTATGTACCATAGTTCGCGGCCAGTAGTTACTGATTTGGATACAGAAAATAAAAAAATAAATTTACATCCGAACTGTTTCACAACGGTGAAAATGACTTGTTTGACAATCATGACCAAATAAAAACAGATTAAATCCTAAAGTGGTTCTCCGTGATCATTCATCAAAGTAAAAAATTCAGCGTGACAAGTTGTGGAGATACAATCATTATACAAGTCACTTGAACGCAGTTCAAGTTATGAAAACTATGCAAAATATCGCTGTGTTGTTTACTTTACTAATGTCCTTGTCATGTGAAAAGAGAGTAAAACACTGGACGACATTCGACTCATTAAGATGCCAACAGCGTCGCTAATTAAACTTTTAGACAATAATGGAATTCAATTGTAAGAATAAACGGGTTGTGCTTTGAAAAGTAAACGAGGGTAAATAAAACACTGCTGGCAAAGTTCACTAAATAGTGAAGGCACGGCACAATCGACCCGACATTTCCTGTAGTGGAACGCAGTAGGAATTTATCGAAACAAACGTCAACATCGCATACTGACGTACTTCACGAACTATACTTGAAGGAACTAGAAAAGCCATGTCATGACTGAACGACTTGCTGTGCGCAATAAGCTTTCAGGTTTAAAAATATAGAAAAATGAAAACACCTGTTAATCGACTTATCGAATTTTCTACATCTGTGTGAATCGTGGCATGAAAACAAAACAAAGCCGGCGTTGTAGCAATGACGAGGGCACATCTGCATGCTAAACTACGCAATGTATACGTTGATTTTCCCTTCTATTAACAACTTCTAGTCGACAATAACGAAGAATCGACAATAAGGTGCATACATGTATAGTAAGTATACATATATAGCTACGACGGGCTCGAAGCCACATATACAAATTGTTGTTTTCGCACTGTGGTTCTTGAGCTTGCTTGTTTTGTTTTCGTTTGTGGGGCATAGACATGTTGAAAGAAGCGATTAATCGTTCTTCATTTGATTATAAAGGGATCCTTCAGGCTACTTCCGATACATAATGATGTGATTTTGACGGTTTATAAACAACGACTATTTTACGGAGAGACAAATCACGGCTGATGCAAGCAAAAACGTATATAGTCTATATATGCAGAAATGTTAAATATTCGAGGGGACGCGTCTGGTTTCGAATTTAACCACACCGCAAATTAAACAGCCGGACAAAAGTGTACAATTTCAGTTAATATAACATGCACATAGATATTGTTTTTGTTCCTATTATACATATGAGGCAATTCGACACTCCGAAAGCTTAACACAAATGTTACAAAAACATGATCGATCGATCGGTCTAGCAGATGTTGGACTAGTCTGATGTCAAATTATTAATTATCTACTGTCTGCCTAACTGAATTGAGGATCAGATATATTTTCTTACTATTTGCCGTCATATTCCTAACATCCTTTTATGTCCTTTTATGTTTTCAGTGGGTTTAACCCTTTAAATCGATCTTTTTTAGACTATATATGCATTATAAATTTATAACATTACCGAATCATCAATCAAGCTATGAAGCATGGGCAATATAATAAAATCAATCTTATTCATGATGATATCATCTGGGCTAAAGCATTTTGAACCTTGTAGGGACGTTTATTTGGGCAATATACGTTATCAATATGTATGTTACACGCCTCCAATGGTAATCAACTTTGGTAATAATTTTAGCAAAAATGATGTTGTTTCACATAGAAAGCTAGTCGTATTTTTGCAGTTGGTTTAATAGTTAAATTCAGGATAGTATAATTCCGAAGCAAGTCGAGAGTCTTTTGTACTTATACAAGCTTTATAATATTGCTTTCCATAATGTAGTCATTTTAACTCGATGGGATGTCATAATACTTCCCTTTCTAAACACGCTGCACGGGCAAAACCCGATTATAAAACTCTACTCTTTGGTCAAATTTACAGCCACAGCAACGTTAAATAAACGGAAATTATTGCTAGCTTCAAAAAAATAACACGAAACGCATCGGTCCAACCGTGTGTCAGCATAACCCTACCCATGTGCAAGGGTGCATACAGCCTGTGAAAGTCTCGTTTCATTCAATCCAGACACTAACCTAAATCCTGAGAATCAAAACACACCGAGAAAATTCGTGATTTTCCTACCTCCAAGACGTTTATGTCATCTATCTTTACTCCACTATATAACCGCAGCCTGTTTAGGTGTTGAGGGATCCGATGTTGCCTGAAAGGTCTGTTTACGAAAAATCCCGAACAGTCCTTGATCGTCGTTAAAATTTCAGCTGTGCGTGTGATTTTCAATTAGTGTTAAATTACTAAGACATACTGGTTTAAATGAAACACACTCACAGCCGCATGACATTGTTGATAGGTACTCAGGTCACAATCCACCCCACAAAGTCGTTTCAATCAAACCGGTTTGTATATCCGGTTACGTTGTTTGCATAAATCAAAGTCCACCTGTTGTGGTTCAACTGAGATAATTGCGCGCATAACTTAGTCTTAGATAACAAATACAAAATATACGTCCTAATATTTTCCCGATTATTCAAACAGTAAATGATAAACCCTAAAGCTTGCTATCGCATCAAAGTTCAAAGTTCATAACTTTTCCACAGTTTCGCGTCACACACGAAGCAGCGTGAAAGACAGCGTCAATGCATGTAGAGAGATTTAGATATAGGTAATCTCTTATTAAATTTCTAGATAAGTTTCATATTCTGTACGTTTTAAAGTACAAATATATCATTTGATGTCATCAAGAATACAACATAGATACGATTGATTTGCGATTGCATGTGCGTATTAACGATTTGAAGAATGTTCTCTATTTTGCTAACGATATTTTGCTAATCAAACCGTCTGAAATAAAAAAAAAACTGAAATAAAAAAAAACCGCGTCTCAACGTTTGGAATTCAAAAGCGAAACGTCGAGCTCATAGTTTAAAAAGTTGAAAAGATTTTTAGATTTTGTTTATTTATCTTGCACTTGCTAAACCCATATATTTCATGAAAAGTAGTTTGAAAAAACTACTGCGATTTTTATCCGGTAATATCTCGGAATACAGGCAGTGACTGCATGAATATAAATAAATGAATAATGAATGCATATGATTTAATAATGGACATGATTTTTGTGAACACGATGAGAAAACGTTTTGAAAAGTTGTATTGTTGCTCTTTACATTTTCATTTATAGGCATCATTTGCGTTCCTGGGGCCAGTGTTTTCAAAGCTCATGCAGTTCTAACAATAGGTCATATATGTAGATTTATACTATACCACAAGGACACTGCCATGTCTACCTGTATTTTCCATAGCGATTTTGTTGAATGTTTTGACAATGAAACCCCCACCAAACCGCGAAATAATTTTTGGTATGATAAATATGTTTTTAATTAAATAAAATCAAGTAGATATTTCAGAGGCTTAGGGCTTTATGCCGCATGTACTGAAAGATGTCAGTAAACGGGGCGGGTCGTGTATATCGTATTTGATTATTTTCAGACATCAGTTTAAGTGTTATCGCGGTCAGTCCGCCCGGCATTGCAGTCGTTGTCAAAACAAAACACTCAGACAGAAAAACCGCCCATACTAGGTTATCCAAGTTAACTCTGTGGCAACTGGCAAAAATGATAATGTCTTGTGTTACAAATATATTTGTAATGGGAATATATCCTATATAGAAATATATTTTAAAAACGTTGTTGGAAATAGTTTGGTATATACTTTTAACACAGCCGAAGTGTAACATGCATCATGCATGCACGCAGCAATTAATGTTGTTTTTGCATAATGACAATACGTCGGTATAAGCACAATTGGTGGACTTCAATATAGGTATTGATGGACGTTTCAGGGCCTCGAATGACTGATATATTTTCATAGGCGTGAGAGGTGTTCAGGTGTACACAATATTAGCGGCCTTAAGCATGTAGGACGGCAACACGACAACGACGTGGTTGGAATACTCCTTTATAGATTAATGTTATGGTAAAGCGTTGTTCTATATCATCAACTGTACCAATTTAATGAGATATAAGACTCTAGTGTCTCTAATGGTCTCTAATGTTAATAAATTGAAACTAATACATACATAGGCAAATATACATAAGCTACACTTTTCTTAATGTTAGTCACTGTTATTACTATTTCATTTAGCTCGCCTCGACTAACTGGAATTCAACCAGAAATCATATCATCATGGTAATGACAATAATTCTCATGTTAATTAATAGCTATGTTGTATACTGTGCCCGCAAATTTTCTTCTAGATATTCCATAGTGAAGAACTATAGCTGCATTGTGCATGTTTTTTCACCGTGACTTGATGCTCGGAAACGTAATAGACCTTTCTTATAATGACGTCAAACGCGAAAAGTCAGATGTTACACGAAATTTAATTGGCTCCACAAAACCATCGAGCCAATCAAACTTCGTGTAACATCATTATGAAAAAGGTCTATTGCATGCATGTTATCACGAGATCCGTGACCTCGGTCTATATTCAAGGGCTTTATAGATTTAGAATATCAGCTTTGTCAAACGTCAGGTGTTTATCAACTGAAATAATTCTATAAATGCAGATTTATAGCTGAATCATTACATTCATTGATTATGCAGATTCCTTTACAAATATAGATTGCCTATAAACTACATTTTATGTGGGGTATATATGCTGTGAATGCCCCCCTCCACCCTATATGTATAGCTGTTAGATCTTTGGTTCAGAACATCAATTAAAAATCACTGCCAGTTACAGTGGATATATCTGTGTATTACTCATTAAAAGAAAGTTTAAGCTGGAAAGGTTATTTAGCGTATATTCATTCCCATAATTTAACCGACATGAGCAATTATTAATCGCAGTATCTTTAAGCTTCCTTCGGAAATCCTATTCTGCTTCCCTAAGTTCCTAAGCTGTTTCCGTCTCGTATGCCAAGTACTAAAATCTGAGTTCTGGAGCCGCCACAGGACATTAACAATGACAAAACTCGAAAGAACGCAAAAATTTTGCCTGCATGAAGCGAAGTATGACTAAAATATAGTTTACTTGTCACGCAACAGACATCATTAGATGGAGCGACGCTTTCGTCAGATTTGATTAATCTGCCAACTTGGTACGTTAGGGTATATATACTACAGTTTTGTGTCTGAGAACTTGGGTTAGTCTTGTTTTGTACAACGTATATAAATGATCGAGTCAAACCTAATGCAATGTTCAAGAAAGAACTTATCAATTATGCGCACGTTCGGTTCATGATAACCACAACGTCTAAGTCAGCCCCTAATTGTGTATGGAAGACATTAATTATAATAGTTTTTTGCTTGAAGGAAATCGCAGGAGGGGACCAAGTTGACTAAAGCTCCGCCCAATAATTGGGTACTGATTAGAGATAAAGAAGTCAATAGAGACCCTACTCTTATAATGTATGTAAAGATAAGGCTAATAGTTTTAATTGATTTTTTTTGTCTCTCAAACTTGCGCAATAGTAATTCAAGTCTTCACACGCAAAAATGCATATGAGCACCTACAAAATACATGTCTCAGCAGGTCCGGGCAGTTAAACATATACATTTATATAGTATATACGCATGTGAGCCTCCATATCAATGCGCTTCAACATCGCATGCAATACAATATAGTATATATTGTTTCTAAGCGAACAATAGACAGGTTAGATAAACTATATATTTTTTGCACACGCTTTTCTTACGGAATTAGCGTGTTCATAAATAAAGTCTTCTTTTATCAACGCGTTAGATTCTCCGTTACATTAACTTAAAATTATAATGTTGGTGGTCTACATTGCCATTCATTGTCACCTGTTTAGGTGCTGAGTGAATATCTTTTATATATCAGTCCTATCAAATAGATACACGAGTGTCATATAGGCGTCAGGATTGATCGATTTGTTCAACGCTGGCTAAATAGAAATTGCTGACCTACACCATTTAAAAGTAATGAAATAAATATTACCTAAAGCTAAATTGTACGATCACAATATTTCGTTCGGGCTGTTACGCATAACGTTCAAATTCACCAATAGTCATTCATAAATAATTAAATCGTCGGCTAAATAAGATCGGCTTCCAACAGGTATTATATATAGTCAAATAATCTTTCGGTTTATATAACAAAGAAATTTGCGTCCAGTAAAGTTGACGTTGAAACGAGACAGTTTAACACGCCATATATATAATTCATTTATACTTAGAGTTTAAAATATAAATAATTTTGCCCTTAGAATTGTAATTCACTGATCCTTATCTTTTTGAGATGAGGAAGCATATATATGAAGAAGTGATGATAAAAAGAAGAGACATGCGGTTATTTGTCGTTATCCGAAAATATGAATATATAAGGTATATATATACCTTAAAACTTAAGATTTGCAAATTATGAAAAATTCTAAACAATCAGTATAGGCCTACATTCGCCCTGAAGGATCAGTACCTAAACGACACGTTTAAATGGTAGAGTTAATTATATATAGAATCACTGAATTGTCTGAATAACCTCAAAAGCTCAATTCAATTAGCAACGATTACGAAGAAAGCTAATTTAAAGCGCACAGACAGCGAGGCTCCCAGCCTTTCCTGCATGCCCGTGTATATAGTTGTATAGAAGACTGCGCGTGCCTAGAGATGGATGGATTAGGGTACTGCGAAGGAATGAATGGTATATATATATAACTAGTAACAAAAAACATATAGCCAGGTATAAAACTCGTTTATTTATGGAAACTCGCTGTGATTTTTTTTAAATGATAACATCTCGAATATATGGGTTGTCGGTGCATGTGAGTAGGGCATATATGCATGTCTTGAAATAGCTGCTTTTAAGATATTAAGGATCTTGCTCGAAACATCAAACAATGAGTTTTCTTTGTAATTCTATGTGAAAGCTTGGAGGCATTCAAAGAATCATTTCGAGTCAGGCAAATTGATCATTGTCTGAGTCAGCATTCCACTTACAATATACTTGGACAAAGGAAACAATAATTGCAGTTGAAGATTTGAACTCGATTAATTAAGTCGTCTGTACTGATGTAGTTTAAAATCAATTGTCAATTACAAGTAAATTGTAGCATTTTCACAAACATGGGCATTTCCAATTCAAACCTCTTATCGAACGAATATATATTATATACGATCTGGAGACCTAGGTTTTCCGTGTTTACTTCTTCGACACTAAAGACAATCGTATAGCTATACATACGTTCTTTATATACATATAACTTGAGTAACCGCAAGTTTGATTTTACTCCAAAATTGCACGACACGAAGTGCAAGTCATTTTGAAATCACACAAAAAAACTAAAAATATTCAAAACGATTTATTGGCTAAAAGAACCGTGAATGGTGTAAAATGTGAGT